TCTAGCCCTTCTGAGCCTGAAATTACAATGTATAATTATCCTTCATAGTATAATGCTTCACAATATGTTGATGCGTCACATTGTGTAGCCCTTAGGAGATTTTGACGGCATCTTGAGCCAGCAGGCAGCTGACAGATGGCAATGGTATCTCAAAGCGCCCAAGCAACCAGACACTTTATCTTGAGAATCACATCACCATCAGAGGACTTGTTTCACCGTTTCCACTAATAGTTCACGTACGCAGACACTTAATACACAAAATCGCACCACTTTTACGTATCGAAATCCACTTCAAACCATTATTTAAACGATAATACAGGAGCAGCAAACCACCGCCGATCAAAACTCCACCTAGCTAGCACTTCTTATTAGTTTGTGCCATAGAGTAGAGTAATATATACAGAAATAATTAAAAATTAAAAATTTTGTACAACCGACTTCAATATAAATTATTAAGAATAACTCAAAAATTATTGGTCATACCTTAATCAAATTTATATGAGACTACATGAGAAGCACCAGCTTTCAAATAAAAAAGAATCATCGAAATCAGTTCAAGCAGAAAAAAGTTAACACACATAAAAAAAAGAGTATACAGTCGAGTTGAGTACCTCCTCCTTTTTGGAGTCGGTAGAAAAACAAACACAGACACCAAATACCTAAACTGCGCTAGCACTTCTTATTAGTTTGTGATTTGTGACCCAAACCATAAGGTTCCAATACACGTTGGTCGAGCGCGCTTAGCGAGCGAGCTCGGTAGATTTTCGTGATGCTGTTCACACGTTGGCGTGTTTCATTCTGAATTGGTAGCTAGATGATGGTTGACGTTAGGGCTGCAATATGCTTGTACAGCACTTTCAAATTCTATAATAGGTAGTAACCTAAATATTTATATAGGATTCAGACGTCCATTATATCTGCCACGATGACATTATGCAGATAGATCATGTTGCCTAGCTTCATCTCCTTCTCTCCACGGATGGGTAGAATGGTACACATTCTACAGTTTTGCTTAGGGCAGCTGGATCGAAGATGGCCCCTTTCCCCACAGCCGTAGCACCTAGGGCTGTATCCTTTATTGCGGTCGCGAACTGTAGCTGCTACAACCTCTCTGACGCGATGGGAACGATGATCCTGCAGTACGGCTTTCACCTCCAGTGCATGGGTCAAGGCGTCCTTAAGCGTCTCGTGGTGCCCGAGCCTCACAGCAGCTCTGACTTCAAGTTCGCGGATGCCGTCGATGAATGTCTGCACCAGGTTCCCTACAATAAGCGCAGGTACAGACTGGTATGCTTTTCGAACCAGCTTCTCCACCTCAAGGGCCCACTGCTGCAGGTTTTCGTTACTGCGTTGCACGCAATCGTTGAGCTGCGTACGAAAGACGTGTTCCAGGTGAGTGTTGCCATATCTCGCCTCCAATGCCTCAAGGACCTGCTCGTAAGACACTTCCTTACCAAGAGCTTCCAGAACAGTTAAGGCCTGGTTGCGCAGGCCTAGGGTGAGAGCAGTCATGGCCTGACTTTTATTCCAGCCGTTTGCCTTGATGACAGCCTCGAATTGGATTTTGTAGGCCGACCAGGAAGAAGTTCCGTTGAACGATGGCACTTTGAATCCGCGTAGCGAAGGTGTTGCAGCTACCACGGGAGCTGTAACTCCATCCCCAAGTTTGAAGTCGTCCAGCGTTTTCTCCACGTCAACTATCACGTTGTCAACTCGATTGTTCACTTGGTTGATTAGGGTTGCAGCTTCCGACAGGCGGTTGTTATGTCGAGCAACCCTATCCTTCACCTCCCTCATCTCTTTCCCAAAGGTAGCGTGAAGGTCCTTCATGAGGAGCATCTGCTCTTCCATACCGCGTTGCAGCTGCTCTTCCAACCGACGGGCCTGTTCCTCCTGTCGGCGGGTCTGTTCCCCCTGTCGGCGGGCCTGCTCCTGCAGCATCATCATCAGAGAACAAACCGTCGCCGGTCAAGTTCCCGCCAAAATGCCCCTATGTTAATTAATACCACAAACTCCTTAGAGTATGGAGGGTATAGGTAAGGAAATCCTCCTTCTCCAATCTCTGTGTATGAAAACATCGAAATGCATTAAAACATGGTGGCGCTACAATAGCAGTAGGGGAAATTTTAAAACAATAAAATTATTTGGATTATTTTATTCTGCCAAGCGTTGGCATATCCAATTGCCGATCTACTCTTCAAAGTTTTAGACCTCGCCAAAGAGTATAGTAATATTTAGAAGGGAACCTTTAGAACCATAGATAAGAATGTTCAGAACTTAGAGTACAGATAAGCAAGGTATAGAGCGCGCGTATTGCTCAATGCCCCTTATGGCAAGCGTAACCGGATGTTCTATAGATACTGATTGAACGTGGTTGAATAGTGATGCGCCAAGATTAGAGTTATTTTGAGTTATTAATTTGATTATGTAAGTATTTGTAAATATTAGGGAAGCGATAATTATAAGGTATGTTTTAGCTCAATAAAACACATGTGGGTACGAATTTATGAAACGATGTTTATCAATCAAACCCAAAAATCTAATTAATTTATCCCCCCTTAAAAACCATATCATATATAATTGTTATTTTGATTGCTTGATCGCAGTTTTACGTACAAGATATTTCAATCTAATGTCAAAATATTGTTTAATGACATCCATTAGTTTTAAAAAACATTGTGAACTGCCAAAACTAGTTAGTGAAAATAATTGCAATAAAATACGTTCCGAAGGTAACATACTCTTGGACGCCATTGGGACTGTAAAAATTATGATTTGTTCACTTGAACGTAAATCTACTCGCACGAGCAAAAGTCTGATGGGAAATTCCAAAAGTAGGCACTCATTTATGACGTCAGAAGTCGTCGTCTTTCTCCAACCAGTGTGATGGGCACAGGCTTGGGTAAAATATCGATATTTTCTCATAAAAATATCAATATATATCGTCTATATTTTTAATCGAGTTATATCGATATTTATTTTAGAGCATCGAATTCGTATCAACTTCGATATATTTTAGTATGCTGTATTAATCGAGTAAACATTAACAAAATTAGCCACAAAAGCATTCACGTGCTGTTGTCGTTTTGTTTCTCATCTTCCAACCATCTAGTAATAAAACTTTTGCAAAACATTACGATATATCAATATCAGAAAGATGCTGCTTGCCAATACCTGTTTCACTTCCCTCTGCCGCTTCTTACGACACCCACGTAGATATGCTGTAGTGGATATTCTTACACCGCCACTACACTACTCGAAACAGGGAATGGGCAGCACCATCTTCCTGACAACAACTCAAAATGCGGTTCTCAATCCGCCTGCCAAGCGTGGCAACAATACCAAAACCCTGCTATGAGGCAATCTATGGGAGAGGCCTATATTCAGCAGTGGAATTTTACAGGCTATAATAGACGGATGGATGGATGGATATATCGATGCTGGCTACAAATATCGATACAATATAATATCATTTATTTTTCTCTTTCCCACCAATACCTGGACGAACTAATAACATTAGTTTCTAAACATGTAGGCTAGGTATGGGAACCATCAATTTAGTCTAAATCGGTAGGTCAGTATCAAATAAAATACACACAAAAATTTGTAGGAAAATATTGTATTAACAATTGCTATATTTGTTTTATTATACCTAAATTAGTCAGTACATAGATAAATATTTTGATTTATGTTTATTTTTGAATCTGTATAACCATACATGCATACATAATATGTCCCGTTCGTACTGTCGGATTTTGCTGTCATGGGCGTTGGACATCAATACAATTTTCTAAAAATAACATTAGTTATTCATCTAACTAACCTTGTTACTGTGTAATAAAGTACGTGTACCGTGTACTTGATCGGTACACTGACTGATCGTCTAGCTAAGGTGAAATTCTTATATTTCAGAAATAATTATTATTTATTACAAAGGTATAACATAGCCTCATAGTTTAGGTAAGAAAGGTAATAAAAAATCGACTACTAAATAAATACTAAATCAAAAATGCATATATAAAGTCTAATGTTGCAAGTAGTTATCCAACTTTATTTTTCATTGTTAATTAGCAAAATTACTGTAAGTTATATTTATCTTAATTAAAAAAAATATTGTCCATGGCCTGACCTACTATACCCTTTGCATTGATCAAAGGTCTGACTGCGCTAGCACTTCTTATTAGTTTGTGGTATGGAGTGTAGAGTAGAAGGAGGACCATCTCTGTATATGAAAAGTGTCCCTAAAAACGTGTCCAATAAGGGTGGCGCTGCAGTAGCATAGGATAAATTAAAAAAGAAGCGCCAAAAGTATTTAGAGTAAGATGGAGAAATAAATAAGGACCGATCAATCCGCTTGGTTTTGTACTACGTAAATAGTTGAGATTTTGTATATTGGCGTTTTACTAACTACTCTAGTCATGAAATATTTGAATTCAGCTGACTTCACTCCGTTCATAACAGCTATCTTCATATCGTAGTTTTTCAGACGCCAGCGCTATTGTGGTAGGTTTTGGAACCTCTATTTACAGTAAATAGTAGGACACTTTTTCAACCTTCGCTCCTTATAAGATGGTTCTCCTTCTACTCTACACTCCATAGTTTGTGGGTCTGACTTAGTTGGCGTATAAAATGTCGACGCCTGAGCGGTTAAAAAGTTTTATAACAGTTCAGACTAAAAAAATTGTAAACGTATTTGAAGTTCACAAAAATATGCTCGTAGCTTAATTTTAATTTTTACTTTTTGAAGTGAAACTGTACGGTGCAACAAATCGCCCGATCAGCATTTTTTCCTCATATGCTTATTTTATTGTTCATCGAATCAGTTCACATAGCATCGCCACACAGCGCGTTCGTGTACTCATCACTAGCTATTAGCAGTTTTTAAATATATTTTCTATTTTTCATCAAGCAGCATATTTTATGTATAATATCAGCAGCAGCATCTTAGGTGTAACTTACATCTTTATGGTCCTTCAAGCCCGATATCGAACAGTCAGAAAATGCAATTTCTGAAAAGTAAATTAAAAGGAGAAGCAGGGAAAATAGTGCAACATTTACAGATAAGCACAGATAACTATCAAGTACGCTGGGCTCCTTTAAACCACCGGTATAATAACACGAAGCTTATTTTTAATTCTCACATGAGTGTCAACCAACCAACCAACCAACCAACCAACCAACTATACAACAGCAGTCAACATCAGCGATTAAGAAGATTCATGATACCACCAACGAATGCCTGAATGCCATCAAAAATCTGGGAGTCAACATAGAGAACTCGGACCCCATGATTGTTTACTTAATTACTCAGAAATTAGACGCAGACACCCATAACGACTACATCGAGTCATTGAAATACCCAAGACATTTGCCGACTGTAAAAGATTTATTACAATTTCTGGAAGTGAAATTCACAGCTAGAGTCGTCAAAACGCAAAAAAGACACCCAGAAGTCAAATCAGCAACCGCAACAATCATCTCAGCCATCTAATCTGCTTGTTGTTTAAAAATCTAGTTTTTAAAGCATAAGCAAAGCACAGTTTTTAGAGCAATCAAAATCCGTCATTTAAATCAAATAATTTTAATAATAAAAGTAGGTTAGCGTCCGCACCGAAGCAAAAATGCCCTGTCTGCAATAAAGATCACGCCATTCCGTATTGCGAAACATTTTTAACATATCGACCTGATTTCAAGCGACAAATAATATCCAAGCTATTTTTATGCCAAAACTGCCTTTATAATCATAACTGTAATGAATGTTTTTCAAAGAAAAGATGCCATAAGTGTCAAAGCAATCATCATACACTAGTTCACGAAGCCTTTGCCGCATCAACAAACGCTGCAAATCCGAGTACGACCAAGAGATTTTATTGGCTACTGCTGTAATCAACGTCCAAGCTGTCGATGGTACACTTCACCCTATGAGGGCTTTTATCGACCAAGGGTCCCAAACTTCAATTATCACCGAAAACGGCGCTTAAAGATTAGGATTACTTCGCAAGCATTGCAAAGGAGTGATATTAGGAGTGGGCGCGAAGGAGAACAGCTGCAAGGGTGTTATGAACATCACCTTATCTTCTTGTTATAGCACGTATAACATAAATCTTGATGTCTGTATAATAAATCACGCAGTAAACAACTTACCAAACAAATTATTCGGAAAACCATCATGGGCGTTTATTGAAAACATCCAACTAGCGGACCCTGAATTTTATCGTAGCAGGACAGTAGATTTGTTACTGGGTGCCGACGTTTATTCTTCGATCATCATGGGAGGAATCATCAGAGAAAAGGACGATATGCCTATATGATTTTATGCGGAAACGTGAAATCGTACAACTGTAACGTGATTATGGTAGACATTGACTGCATACATAAATTTTGGTCGATCGAAGATATCAATGACAATGAGGAGATGTCATTCGAAAACCATCAATGCCTTCAAAAATACCAAGAGACTACTTTTCGCCAACTCGATGGGAGATATGTAGTGCACCTTCCACTACACTTTTTTTTTCAAGCTGCCCCAACACTTATTTTAAGCACCAGGAATCAACAAAAGCACTCAAACTTACATGGATTACCAAGGATGACAACTTCACCTTCCAATGCAAAATGACAGCACCAACTACAACCAAACCAACAAAAAGAGTTTTATTTGCCGAAATCTCTAAAGCCTTCGATCCTTGTGGTTTTCTTTCACCAGCCGTGGTCCAGCTTAAACTCTTATTTCAAAGCGTTTGGCAAGAAAATCTAAACTGGGATGATGTCATACCTGATGACGTATACTCAAAATGCTTGACTTTAAGAGCAGACATCGAAAACATCAGTGATATCGAAATTCCCCGATGGATTGGAACTCGAAAGAAAAGTAAATTTCAACAAAAAACAAAGCTTACGCTTGCGTCGTATACGCCCATATTATTCATAAAGGCATAGCATCTGTAAGAATATTAGCAGCGAAAACGAATCTCGTACCATCGAGCAAGAAATCGACCGAAAATCAAACTTCGCCACCCAGGTTGGAATTAAGTAGTGCACTTCTACTTTCAAATCTAATGACTAAAATAAAACTAAGCCTAAAAACACTTGATCTCGAAGTCTACGGATGGATTGATTCCACAGCAGCTCTCGGCTGACTGTACCAGCCGTGGTATGAAAGTGGAACACCTACAGCGGCATACCTTATAGTGGAAAGGACCTTTATGGCTATCATCATCAGCTGTGTCCCTCACAAAAATCTGAGAACTTACCAAACCGATTTAGAATGCAAGGTGAAATTATCTAACATCGTACAAACAACCAAATACAACGACGAAATTGATATTATTAGCGCAATAATTCACAAACAAAGTAGTTTCACGCGAGCAACACGTGTACTTGCATGGATATTGCGAGCAATCTCAAAAAACAGCGTAAAGTTACCATACTTAACAACAGCGGAATTGCGCTACGCTACTGAAAAAATTTTAATGAGCGTTCAAAAATCGGAATTTTTGCAGGAAATTAACGATTTATCCAAGCAAAGCAAGGTGGATTCTAAGAGCAAGCTTCTCTGCCTAAATTCGTATTTAGATCAAAACGGCTTAATGTGAGTTGGAGGTAGACTCAAAAATAGCAACATCCCTTACGATATGAAACATCCATTCATTATCCCACACAGTGGCCACCTTACTAATATACTTATCGATCTTGCACACAAATCAACTTTTCACGGAGGAGCACGCCTCACGCAAGCTTGGCTTAGACAGCAATATTAGATTTTAGGTGGAAATAAAGTTGTGAGAAATCGTTTACGTCGTTGTATTATATGCAAACGCCACAATCCAGAAATGAATGAACAGCTAATAGGAGAATTACCCGAAGCAAGGACGAATTCTACGCGCCCGTTTTTTAGAATAGGGCTGGATTTCACGGGATATATAGACATCAAAGCAAATAAGGGTCGAGGCATTAAGACCAACAAAGGATACGTGGCCGTCTTTATCTGTATGGTCACAAAAGCTGTCCACCTGGAGTTAGTCTCTGACCTATCATCATTGGCGTTTTTGGCAGCCCTTCGTCGACTAGCAGCAAGGAAGGGTACCCCACGCCATTTATATAGTGACAACGGGACTAATTTCATAGGAGCTAACAACATCCTGTCCAAAGAATATTTTGATCTTAAATCAGTATTATCTAAAGAGTTCTTCTTCGAATTTTAACGCCCCCTCGTGGCCTAGTGCCGGTGGGCTTTGGGAGAGCAGCAGTGAAAAGCCTAAAGCACCATCTGCGTAGAGTTGTTGGCGATTAAAAACTGACATATGAAGAATTTTCCACGTTATTAGCGAAGCCTGTCTCAATTCGAGATCCCTTTGTGTATTATCAGAAGACCCAGACGGCATTAATTATTTAACGCCAGCTTACTTCTTGTCCAGCTGACCTATTCTTTCGATCATTGAGACAGAAACAGACGGGAGGACCAGATAGCAGCTAACGAAAAAGATATTCAGCGACATTTGAAAAAGGTAGCGTGCTGAATATTTGGTTCAGCTTTCAGCACGAAGCAAATTGCGTAAGTCACGGGAAAACATCAAACTTGACGATGTTGTGGTGATGCACGACGCTAACCTACCCCCTGGTAAATGGGCTTAAGGTCGCGTGATTGAACTACACCCCGGTACCGATAATCTGGTCCGAGTCGTCTCAGTCAAAACACGAAACGGTTCTGTTATCAAAACACCTGTGATTAAGTTATCGATCCTACCAGCTAACATAGATCAGTCAAACAACAGTAGCGAAACAACAATAATAAATGAAACATCAGCAAAAAATAAAAGGACACAAACACCCAAGAAAAGTTTTGATATAAACTTCTTATCTATTTTTATGACACTTACTCTGTTCATAACTTCAACTGTGCATGCAAGCTACAACATCACAAAACTGAGTGATGAGAAATACATATTTTTTTTAAAGTATGAGATTAGTCCAGGATCATTGGAAATTAGTTACTTACTACGATAAGCAACCCTATTGGTACGGAAAAAGGATATTTAACACTTATATAGATCATCTTCAAACATAATGCAATAAATCGGAAGGAAATACGCATTGTGACAATATTGCAACAGCTGATACTCGGGCTCACCGAACTAGAGTATTATGACCGTATGTTGCTCTATCAGCATTTTGATAATCGGAAGCGTGCGCGTCGAGGCCTTATCAATGGTGTCGGCTACGTCGCTAATACATTGTTCGGCGTTTTAGATGAGCGGTTTGCGGCCCAGTACGAAAAATATCAAATTAATTCGGGGCAATCAGAGACATTTAGCACAACTTTGGAGAAATCAAACATCAGTTATAGAAGCGGAAAATAATATTTTAAATAGAATCGAGAACACAATGCAAAAGCAATATAAGACATTTAATCAGCATTTAAATAATTTTAGAAAAAATATCGAATACAGTGAAAACCGAAATATCTAAGGTAGAAATCAGAAACGTCTTCATCGTGTCCAGCATCATAGCGAAAAATGTTCTTTCGAATCTTCGTAATATCCAAGATAGGGTATCCTGGATACGATCACCAACCTTTAACATTTTAACGTTCATCTGCTGTCACACACCCAGCTGGAAGATGAACTAAACGTAATATCCAGCAAACTATCAAAGGATTTATCATTACCAATAGATAGCACCCAGAGTAATTTATCCAACCTATACAAAATTTTAAAGGTCAAAGCTAGAATGACCAACCAGTATTTTATTTTCGAAATTCAGATCCCCCTCACTAATAGAGATGACTATGACATTTACAATGTAATACCTCTCATCACTCTCTATGATAAACCTGGTACCGATTGCAGATCACGTAGCCATAAACCTGAAGAAAGACACATTCATACCTTTGTCATACAACGACTTACAGAACTGCATAGAATATAATAATAATCTCTATTCGGATTATCTTTGCCAGCTTCAAACGCCCGTCTACGAGAGACAGACGGACGAGAGTCTTTGTATTAAAAACAAACAGTCAAACACTTGTAAAATTATCAGCAGCGCGTGTCAGACTACATGGCGAAAGCTTAAGGTCGCAGTACACGTTGGCCGAACGCGCTCGCCGAGTGCGTTCGGCCAACGTGTACTGGGCCGTTTTGTGTGTATTTGGTGTTTGCGGCCAACACTCGCCGACAAGCCGTATAGTGTCGGTTTTCCGTGCACAAATCAAAGAAATTTGGCGCAAGCCGCAAATAGCGATCACACGTTGGCCGAGTGTTCGGTTCATAGTTACGCTTTACGGCTTAATAAAATTATTTGACGAACATGGCCACATGGCCTAATGAGAAAATATTTAGTTTCATTGATTCTTATCACAATGAATCAGTTATATGGAACCCCAAACATTAGCAACATAAAAATAAGGCCGCAATCACTAACGTCCATCATCATCTAGCTACCAACGCAGAATGAAGCACGCCAACGTGTGAACGGCATCACAAAAATCTGCCGAGCGTGCTCGCCAACGCGCGCTCGACCAACGTGTACTGGAGCCTTTACAAAGCTAAACTCCTATATAATTAATTGTTGCGGTCAATGTACCTTCCGATTCATATGTCAAGATCGAGTTACCGTAGAACATGTGACGGGAGTAAACATTAGAATTCTCGGTACTGACTGCGTCATTCGGGGAAATACTCTAGTAATTACGCCTCATAAACAAATGACAAATTAGATTAATATCGAGCCGGTTATCTTTGCACCAGAGATCGCGCCTGTCAATAGTATCATCAACATATCGATACCCACCAATACGATCAACGTGTCAGAGAATTTCGGGCAAGCTATAGAAAACATTGACCGGCAGATTAAAGAGTTAAAGTCAGCTTCGGATGGTATAGCTAGCGAGGCGAACAGCCTCAACTATCATGATGTCTATCACTACGCCGTTATCTGTTCTCTGGTCTCTGGTCTCTGGGCGCGAAGTGGAAACGCGCCCGCCCCCGATCACCCAGCTTTAGCCTGCTGTCAGCGTGCCACCGTGTTTAAAAGATGTGAAGTGTGATAGTGAGTGTGTTAAAGCAGAGCAAAGTGATCTTTGTGCAAGTGTGTCCGATCAAGAGAATCAAAGTGAGCCTAATCCGTCGGTGCATAAAATCACTTCCCCAGTTTTATTAAAATGTAATTTTAGGAAAACTTGCTAGAAATTGTCGGGTCGTCATCTTGTAAATTAGCCGATAAGTGTTATGTCGGTCTCATCTATGTTTTAGTTCAGCTCATCTCATAATCATCTCGCCTATCTTCTCACCCGGGAGCATGTACGGTGCAACCGCACAAATCGCCCGATCAGCATTTTTGCCTCATATGCTTATTTTATTGTTCATCGAATCAGTTCACATAGCATCGACACACAGCGCGTTCGTGTACTAATAATTAGCTATTAGCAGTTATATTTTATTTATATTATCAGCAGCAGCATCTTAGGTGTAACGTACAGAAACTTTTTTAGAATCGTTGTGATTTGAAACTCGATGAGACAAAAAAACGACACTAAAAAGAGACCAACATACTTCTATAGAATTTTGCATGCGAATTAGAATATATTATACGGCATTTCTTATTATCTTGGTCTCCTCTTTGTGCGGTGCTCTTAAGATAATTCATATAACTTTTAAATGTTCAATAAATAATTTAAAAAATTAACAAATTTATAAAATAATTAAAGTTAACTATATTGAATAAAATTATTGTTGGGCGCCATAATTAATACACGGTACATGGCGACACTATTTACCACTGGCACCCTCTAGTATCGAGTAGCAGAACTAGAAGAGTTAAGAACATTCTAGAAATTTCAACAGTAGAAGGTTCTGGAAACTACCTGAGGCCCTATATAAGGCCGGTAAGGATCGTACCGGGACCCCTCAACAAGCTTTCGGCCGACCAGAACTGCCTCCTGGCGGCTCAGGCCGAATCTTCTCTCTGTTCATAATTTGCCTTAATTAGGCGCGTCTCTCAGCGGTTACTAGCCGCCTGCGCCCCCTTTCTCTAAGGGGGGTCACTTCCGATACGGTAAAAAGGCCATACAGGCTAAAGCCAGTCCCACAGGTGGTGTTTAGTGGGAAACACTTCATAGTGAGTCCCACATAACCCCGCAACCGGCTCCATGGTATGCTACGGGCATTCACCACCTCCCTCCCCCGCTTCCCGGAGGGTAGGCCCTTGCTTAGGGAACAAGAAAAAAGCGACAGGTTCAGTATGGAATTTGCGATACAAGCGAATACTTCGAAGCGATACAACAGTGAACTAAAGTGATCAGTAGTACAATTTTGAGTCTCAAATATTCCAGGAAACTTGCCGAGTTATGGGTACTCATAAAACAAGAACAACTTCTCACCAACAATATGATGGAATAGTAGAACGATTTAATCAGACATTGGAATGGTACCTAGCAAAAGTTGTGGAAAATCGGCAACGAGACTGGGACAGGCTATTACAACCGTTTTTGTTGGCATGCCGAAGCGTTGTCAACGGAATTACATCCGTGACACCAGCTTTTGCAAACTTTGGAAGAGAATTACGGCTGCCTGCAGACCTGATCACCGGAATACCACATGATGCCCTACGCAGTATAACTGATTATGCAAATGACTTGCGGAACAAAATGAATCAGATTTATGAGCACGTCAGACAATCGAGCCAGAAAATGTCTGAAAAAAATGAAAACACGGTATGACCGCAAAATGAACAACAAAGGGTTCGACGAAGGTTCACTAGTATGGCAGTGTTCTGTAATTAAAGTGTATATTTTAGTAATTCAATCGGCAGTTTTTAATTGCCTCGAACCCCAAGCTCGTAACATTATTATATCCAATTCATTCTTAACAATCCACGATTTCATAAGTTAATGATTTATATTAAATTAATGATATTTAGGATATTTAGCGTCTATTATATGTAACACCTTGAGAGTTAATATTTTTCTTCGATAAAAATACTTCACCTATAGAATGAAGTAGATGACGGTTTTACAAAGCAATTTTACTGGCAATTTTCTGAAAGTTTCATTTCTACCGCGTGTGAACTGCACACATTTTTTTATATTAAACTTAATACTTAATAATTTAAATAAGATTGTTCTGTTTAAAATCAAAAAGTAATTGTTATTAATTTGTTTGAAAATAATTTTGAAATGTTTGCTAGTGAAATGAAAACGGATCCAGAGTAAATAATGACTGTTTTTTTTTATACAAGTAGCTGTTATACCTGTCCTTATTTATATTTTATTAACATTATGTAAAAAAATAAATTCCCAAGAGCATCTTTCTGTGGTATTCCAGAACTAAAATAAATGCGATAATCAACGTTCTTGCCATATTGTAAAAATCTGCGTTACCATCCGTCACAGTTTGGTTAGCCGTATTTTAAAAGGAAAACTACTAAATTGCCGTATTTCATTACTTATTTTAAATATATGTGTTCCTTATTCGTTTCTCCTCCATAAAAGTTTTTTTTTTGTTGGTTGTTTGTCACATGTTGTCGCAAAGTTGAAAATTAATACGATAATTTAACGTCGGACACTGTGTTCTTTGCTCTATGTAGATCATCATCAATAAGAGCAATCCAGGTTTGAATAAACACACTCTTCCACTGTTATTGATACTTCTGTTTTATATGTTTCCCTCTTTTGTCTGTTTGGTGAATTAGGGTATTCAGAGTCACATTCGCTCATATTATCGATTGTAATTTAATTAAAACTGAGAATATGGAATTATTTCACTCGCAACCGAAACGTATTTTGATCAGGTAAATTACGAATGGGCGCTAGGTCATACTCCCTTCGTAGTTGAAACAATTAAATTTTACGTTAGGAGAAGTACGTCGTCTCATTTGCAACTTTTCATTAATTTTTTTATCAAGGTAGGAGAGATAGTACAATACGGCGTTACAACTGTCTGTTTCCAGTCGGGATTTCATCGGCTTTGTTCATAAAAGTGGTACCAATGTGCGTTTCGTTTCGTTTATTACACTAGTGAAAAAAAAAAACGTTTCGTTTCACCTTAGTCAATTGCCGGATTTTGTAAAACAGCAATGAGAAAAAAATCGTGAATTGCCGTATCAATGACACGCTGACTCTCGCATCACTTCCACAAGAAACGCCAGTGCGAGGGGACGTTGTCTACCAGCTGTCTCAATTACTAAAATAAACTCAGTGTTTTATTGGTGCTCCCTGAAAGTACATACACTTGTGGACAATACCAAGCTTCTGTCACTCTTGCTACCTGCGTGAAATAATTGCCAACAATCGCAAGGCGCCCTTGAGTTAGAACGCAGTCAGGGCTAGCGCCTAGGCGATTGAATGTTAAGGTTTGTGGTAAATACTTGTTAAATACTCAAATTAAATTTTGTTTAGTGTTTAGTATATTTAATTGTAGGATAAAATAGTTGAAAAAGTTTAATGTTATTTAACAATAATTATGCTAGCCGTGTAGTGGCGGTTAAGAATATCCACTACCCCATATCTTCCCGTGGGTCTCGTAAAAGGCGACAAATGGAAACAGGCAGGAGATGGGCAGCAGCATCTTCCTGATAACAGCAAAAATACAATAAAAAAACTGAGGCTGCCAACCCGCTCGCCAAGCGTGGCAACTATGGCAAATACCCCCCAAATGGATAAAGTTACGAAGAGACGGCCCCCTGTCCCCGGCGGCCCCGCTATTCCTGGCTACGGTGGCGGCCATGGTAACGGCTGGGCAGGGGGTGCTAAGAATCTTCGGTTGCCACCTACGATGACTCGACCTGGCAACATACAACGCACGCACCCTGAGGACTGACGAGAAGATTGTGGAGCTGGAAGAAGAGATAGACAAGTTACGCTGGCATATTATAGGATTATCCGAAGTCCGAAGAGAGGGGGAGGACACGGTAATCCTCGAATCCGGCAACTTGCTCTATCACCGGAAGGGTGACCATCTGTCCCAAGGAGGTGTCGGATTTATCGTCCACAAGTCTCTCGTTAACAACGTTGTAAAAATCGGGAGTGTGTCGACGAGGGTTGCGTACTTATACTCAGAATCACCAAACGGTATTCGCTGAAGGTCATACAGGTTTACGCACCAACCTCGGCACAACCCGATGAGGAGGTGGAGGAAATGTATGAGAATATCTCTAGAGCCATGCATTCCTCCAAAACCCAATATACGGTGTTAATGGGCGACTTCAATGCAAAACTAGGCACAAGAGATAATGATGAGCTGAAAGTAGGGAAATTTGGAATAGGGCAACGGAACCCAAGGGGCCAGCAGCTGACCGACTTCATGGAGAAAGAGGGACTATTTATGATGAACTCTCTGAACACTGACACTTATGACAGTGTGAAAAAAATTTATCGATAAGAATTCTATACCCAGGCCTACCCGTAACATAAATAGTCCATTATATTTATGTATCATATTAATATAATGCCATACAATACATAAATGTATCAATTAATACGTAGGCCTTAGACACAAGCTTTATACCTCGTATAAAACAACTATCGACGCTGCGTTGAATTATATACGTTTTTATTCGTAACTACTACTTTTGTTCAGTGTTTCAAAGGAAAAAATGCCTACGCATCAGGTATGCATTGCGCATTGCGGGGACAAGAACGGATTATGTCGGACTTGCACCTACTAAAACCCCATGATGTTCCACCTTCACCACACATTGACAGGACCACGAAAACGCTTTCAAGCACATCCGCGGTCCCAACAGAGAAGACCCCTACTTAGTTGAGGACTTCCCTCCCCGACTTCCCGAGCCCTATATGTGGAAACCATGTAGCCAAGAAAAAACGAGCACTTGGAAGCACCAACTGGTACAGTCCCGCCAAAGTCGCGGAGAATAGTCGAGTGGCGCATTACCATACCAACAACCCTCTTCTCTTGCGACTCCACCCTCGGTTGCAGCGATATAGAGAGAGGACTCCCCTCTAGCCACAGCTCACTAACACACATCCAAGGGCTCGACAAGCCCACTCAGAGTGGCCACCTTGGGCTAGCCCTTCACTTCGGGCCATAAATCGGTAAATAATACTTTTTATGACAAATATTTATATATTTTAAAGTAAATAAGTACTACATAGATACTTTAAGAGTGCATATTTACTAATTCGTATAAAGAAACGTATGTGATATTTGAAATACTGGAAATGATAAAATATAAACCGTTCAATTCCTTTTTTTTAAATTAATATTTTACCGCAAGTTGTACAAAATAATGGTTTAGTAAAAAAAAGTCCAATATTCATAGGATTATTTTACATACATTGTACCTTTTTTGTACAAGGTGGGGCACGATCTGGTATTATCTTTTAAGGGATATAACCAAAGAGATTAAAATATACAGGTATACTATAGAGCGGACATTGGGAACATGTATTTACAAAAACTTTGAGCTAGTGCGCGTGTGGCACCATCTAGCTAAAAATAGCAAAACAACGCTAAGCATTTATTAAGACAACATTTTAGCTATTCCCCAGTAGATGACGCTAATAAATATAACCTCGTTTTAGAAATGTTACCGTTTCGATATCAAAGTAACGATAATGTTGTTAAAAATTACTAAGTTTGAAATGCTTTTCGATATAATAATGGGAAATATACATGATTGTTTTATAATTAAAATTGTTAACTAAATGGTGACGTTTACTGGATAACAGAGGGCACTTATTACAATAAAAATAAATATAATTAATAGAATCATTTGTTACTTCGCGGAAATCCACTATATTAAAGCTTTTAGAAATTTTTTTAGAAAAATTTACTTCGCAAATATCCGCGTTAAAAATAAAATGATGTGTTTTACCTAGTATGGAGAGCACCTCCCACTCTCCCTCAATTCCGTGCACTATCCCCGTCACCACTAATCCCAGCATCGCAACTCCCAACACCACTAAACTAGGCAAGACGACACATGTTTCGCCTCTATACGAGGCATCCTCAGGTGATATAGATTCTACGGTGGCTAACCGCTAAGTGAGCGGCGAGCCAAAACAACTGCTATTTATACACTGTATAAAGACTCTACGGTGGCTAACCGCTAAGTAAGTGGCGGTTAGCCACCGTAGAGTCTATATCACCTGAGGATATGCAATCTACTAGAAATAATAAAATTTAAAGATTATTCGGTAAATAGATGTTATATTTACGATAATACACCGATATCTCGTTCATTTTTTGCTCCATATCGAGACTTACAATATCTTATTCCACAACCGGGCATATTTTCTTTAAAAATATTTTTTAAATATATGAAACGAATGCGTCTTGACTTTTTGATGATGTCACTAAGACTAAATAAGAAAAATCGGAGATATATCCTATAGGACATAAGTTACAGACGACAATTTTGCTACTCATGTCCGATCTATTACCACTACTACTTAAATGTCTTTGGATATAACAAACAAATACGACGACTTGACGATACCATTTTTAAATGCTGTACAATTGAAGTCTAGCGTATACCGGCACCGGCACCGGCGCAGTGGAAAAACAACGTCGCTGTGCCGTCGCCGTGCCGTTGCCGTGCCGGGAAATGGAAAACCATGGAAAACTGCCTAATCAATGCTTAATGACAAATCAAAATGTCACGCGCATAGATTACTGTATATATACTAGATCACGCGTTTTTGGCTTTTCAAGCTGATCAAGCAGATCATCTATACGCCAGTATATTCTAAGTCTATAGTTTAAAGAGAAAAAAAAATTTGTAATCTGTATTAATATCATTTTTTTTGGAGTTTATGGCCTGGTATCTAGGACCTTTAGACCAAAGTATTGATATCGCAGACCTTATCAGTGCTGCCAACAATTTTTTTTCCAAATCCGTAGATTGGTATAAAAATTCCGTAGAATTCCGTAGATGCCATTTCGTAATATCTGTAAATCTGCAGACTTCTAAAGAGGATCGAAAATTTTTGTTTTTTGTAATAGAATAGATCAATTTTTTGGAGAAATTATTTCTGTCATATAAAATTCTTGTTGTAAGAGTTCAATTTTTGCATTACATCGAATCAAACTGCACACATAAAAAAGTAATAATTAATTATTTTCTTTTAATTCGATTATTTTTAATAAAAAAGAAATAAAAAAATTACACATAAAAATAATTGTAAAAAAATTGCGATAGCCTTGATATGAAAAAATTGAGACAAAAGTGACAATCATCTATGAAGATTTTATAAGCGTTTATATTAACTGCCTATTTTCCAAGAAATGTTTGAAATTTGAAATAAACGTAACTTAATGCAAAATATCTACGCCATTAAAATTTGAAATCGATTAAACTCATCAAAAACTTAGGTTTTTAAGTAATTTGTAAGCAAAATTGTTTTTTTTATACAGACAGCACAGAAGAAGAGAGAGAGAATGACAGTGTCGGCTAAGTTCACACTCATGATAATAAATAATTATCTTGTTAAGTTTCTTAAAATTCCGTAGATTTCAATCTTAAATTCCGTAGTTCCGTAGATGATGACAAAATTCCGTAGATCTATGGAAAAATCCGTAGAGTTGGCAGCACTGAAACCAATATAAATAAATGGTTAATTGTTAGTTTTGGGAAGTGAGAACTATACATTGTTCTTCGGATCGATTTCGATTGTTCTCTCCTATGTTTATTGTTTTTGAGTAGATTTTACAGATTTCTGATGCAGTAATGTCATTTTCTATTTCTACTCATTCTTCATTAGTGTAAAACTTATTAAAATGTGGATTGCATCTAAATCTCCTAAACTCGGTGTCGGTAAGTTTGACATTTGTTTTTAATCAAGAATGTATCCTAATTTACAGCGGAAATGTTAAAACAAATTAAGTAATTTCTTATAAATACCTAGTTAGAAAATTAAATTACTCTACAAATAATTAAGTACCTTACTCTCCCAAAAGTAATGTTACTGTAGTTGTTTGTTGAAAAAATAAAAATATCTAAAACTGAAATTGATGATTTATATATTGATATATATTTTTTGTATATTGGTGTATTAGAAGGCAATGATAGGTTTCCCTCAATTAAAATTTTATTACTTACATGTGCAATTTTGATAATCTATAAAAATAAAATGATTTACACATAGCTGCTGAAGTTGTTGCAAAGGCATAGTGTATTGGAGAATTAAAGCCTCATTGCATTAAAAACTTCGTCCCCTCTACTTCCATTCTTAAGGATGGATGTTTTTTCCAAATTTAAATGGGAGACTACACATGAGGTAAAAACCTATTTAATAAAAAATAATCACTATGACTGTTTTACAGTTGGAGAAGATATAACATAACATACATCCCAAAAACATGTGGTTGATTTGAGAGCCTCCTCCTTTTCTGAGGTTTATAATAAATAGGCTTACCCTATGTACAGCTGTAACTGTAATAAAATACTGTGATTTGTGAATATTTTAAGATATTTGTTCTTAATAATGTAGCAGTAAATGCTGATGAAAATATAAAGCATAACAAACACAAACATTTTTAAGGTTGAAACTGGGAGTGAAGTGGCATAAACAGTTCACTTCCAGCCCAACCTTAAATATTCAAGGATATATTATGATGGAATATGGACAAATAAATTTGTTTTATAGATATTGTGATTGATATAAAAAGAAAATAATTTATAGACATTGTATAGAAGGGCCTTTTAGAGTGCGTATTAATATTAACTAGGATCTTGGTACCTATTCCAGACAAATAACTATCTTCAATACCAAAATGTACATGCACATTTTGGATATAAGTAATTCTTCTGTCATGGAAGTTGTAGTGACATCTGGTAGTACTGTGGTTACAAAAGTTATTTAATTTAATAGTAATTAAAGTTATTAAATATTTATGTCTTTCTTTGTTTCATATAATTATATCTCATTGTTTTAGCTGTCTACAACTGGAAGGGAGATGTACGCTCAGGACTACCTTTGGAAATTGGAGAGACTGTCCAAATATTGGAAGAGAATGGGGGTAATATAACAACCTAAATATCATTAACTTAAAATACTCATAAAATTTCATTATATAATAATGGATATACTCTGTATATTATATATTTTAATGTGAAGATAAGAATGATATTATATATCTCCTGGATCAACATACATCACTCTTTTAAGTTCATATCCCTGAAACTCCACATCTAAGTGTACTTAGGATGTGGGCAGGAATAAAATATATTTTGAGCATCCCAAGCTACACAAGAAATTTTACTAAATTCTTTGTTACCAATTACTGAAAAGTGACAGCGGTGATCGGTGGTACTTAGCTTTGTAGAGCTGACAGTCGCTGGACAACCAAATAGAATGTGGGCTGCAGTTTCATATATAATATAATATACAGTACTTTATTTCAAGCGGGTTGGTCTTACTTGTAATGTAGGTGTACATACACAATGCTTTAGTATCTAGTAGTTAGTTTAGTTTAATGCCACGTCAGGTTGGCTATAGATATTCAGTACTTGATTTTAATTATGTTTTCAGTTTAGGAGGCATGTCAAGGTTAAGCATGAACCTTTTACACTGTTTTTGAATGTCGGAAATGCATTTTGAATTAATTACGATAAAAATAAATTTCAGTAAAAATTCCATGTAACGAACCGCAAATATGACAATTTTGTATAGTGTTATGAGATTAGATGTTAAAAACCAATGTAAAAAGTGTGAAACGGGATGGTGTCGACGGCCATAATTTGTTCAACAGTAAATGTCAAATATAACATTATTATCTATAGTCAAATGTCAATTGTCATTCCGTTTCTCTAGTGCTCACGTGTATGTTCTCTCTTGTGCTTGGTGCTGTGTTTTCCCTGTTTTTGAACTTTTTTGATTTGATTTAAAATTACATTCATATCATAGCAGAGTTTAGGGAAACCTGACTTTATAGATAAGATAGATTGAATCTGTACTAAAACTGAATCAGAACACCCCAAATCTACATAGTCTTGTCTGCCCTACCCCTAGAGTGTTTTTGTAAAGTCGTAAGCGCGGAGGGAGAGCAGCCCCCTTCTGCTGTAGCAAATCTTAGGCCCCTGTACGAGCCGTAGCAGCTGAGGCTGGTCACCGAAGGCGACCAATAAGCCAAAGCTGCAGAGATGAGCTGTGATTTGCCACGCAAGGGCGAAGGGGCTGCACTTCCCACAGCGCCGAAGCCGTTGCAGAAATAACTGTATCAATATTCCTGTGTAAAAAAGTGCGATTATGATTTTATAAATTTACAAAAGGGGTGAAAGGTAGGGGACCTTGTTCGCATTCATGTATTAGTCCCGACTTCACCACATTGCAACTCGGAGCTTGTAATATCGCTATACTGTTGGTCAGTATTCTGATGGAGAAGTCTTTTACCTTCCTATCATATGATGATACCCATACATTTCGCCTGAAAAACTGTGTTGTTTGTACCCAGCAGTGTACATATGTTGATAATGAGGTCTTCAGAGAAAGTTCCAGATCTACACCTTCATTTGTTTTAGAAACATCCGTGAAAACTCACTCTTTGGGCTTTATCCCTCCGCCTGGCTGGTTTAACTTAATTGTATGTTATACTTCTTATTGAATACAAATTGTTTGTAAATCATCTTGTCATTGTAATCGTATCTTATTGTAATATGTATGATAAGAATTTTTGAGTAAATTCTATCAGTTATACCTGTATGAGAGACTACTCTTACGCCAAAGATTTAGGGTCTTGTAAAGTCGCTTCTTGATGTATGTGTAGATGACGCGGGGTTAGCTCCAGCATAGCCTCTAAGACTGCTGTTGGTATGGTCCTTATTCAGCTTGTGGCAGCCATACATGCCAGTCTCTGGTAACGCTAAAGCTTCTTTATAATGGCTTGGCTTATTGGCTTAAATTCTTTATTGTGGCTTCATTTGTTTTGGTTCACCATTTCAAAGCGCCATATGTGATCATGGGCCGAATGACAGTTTTGTACAGCCACAGTGTAAATTTTGGTGTCAGACCCCATTGTTTGCCAATCATGTTTCTGCATTGCCAGAAAGTTATAGTAGCTTTGTTGATTTTGTTTTCTATGTATTTATTCCAGTTGAGTTTACTGTACAAGGTAAGACCTAAGTATTTTACCTCTGCTGGGGTTATCTGGAGTTTTGTGCTGGAGAGACTTAGGAGGTGATAGTTATTCAGCATTCATTTTTGCGTAAACATTATTAGAATCGTTTTATTTTGAATTAACTAAGCCAAATAAACGCAAAAATAAGCCTGCCAGCAGATCTCGGGGTCTCATCATCAGCCACCGAGTTGGAATAAGATTGGAGTTGGAGTAAGAAGTCTTCTTCGGCACTCAACCGTTTTTTTACTGGACTTGGCATCCAATGATTCCGCTGTACCGGTAACCATGGCTCCGGTATCCATGACTTCCGGGTTGATATCTGCCTCTGCTTGGTGGAGTATCAAAAAATTTACCTCCACGGCCCTGGAATTGGTACGACTTTCCATTGACTCCCATCGAGTTGGGGGTTATTACGTATTTTTGCAGAAAAGTTACACTATTATAAGCACACACACAAAGTTACAATATGCGGAAGCGTGTAATTTTTGAGAAAAAAGATATTGAAAATCAATTATTCTTGCATTGTTTATGTCTAATCCTACAATAAAACTGACGCCATTTTTTTATTGTTATTGTCAGTAGGAATGTCGATTCTTTTCGAAAAAGATCGATTTTTTAAATAGATTCGAATTGTAAGCTGATGTATCGATTCCCAAAAATCGATTTCTAAAATATCTATATTTTTTTCATGTTTGCATTTATAATGTAAATATAAATCCATTTTATGAGAAAAAAATCGCCTTCATCATAAAATATAGGGGGACTGATTCAGAAGGATTTCTGTATCTATTTTGAGACTGCTACGTCTCCGGCGCTGCGGGAAGAGCAGCCTCTACGCCTTAGCGTAACAAATCGCAGGTATCCCTCCTCGCCTCCGCAGCTTGTTACAGCAGGCGGAGGCTGCTCCCCCTACGCGCCTCCGGCTCTTTAAAACCAGTCTAGGGGTAGGACAGACTCGTACCAGGTGGAGTCGGGGTCAATCAATTCGGTTCTTTGACATAAGTTGAACCTAACCTATTTTATTTGTTATCTGCCCTAATTGGTACTGTTAAAATAAAACAAAACTCAATAAGAGATCATCTTTTATGGTATCTTTCTTGTTTTTCATAAAATTGAATTATATTTACATTATAAATGCAAACATAAAAAAATATAGATATTTTAGAAATCGATTTTTTATGTATCGATACATCAGCTTACGATTTGAATCGATTTAAAAATCGACCCTTTTCGGAAAGAATCGACATCCCTACTAACGACAATGACATTACAAAAATGGCGTCAGTTTTATGGTAGGATTAGATATAAACAATGCAACAATAATTGATTTTCAATAACTTTTTTTTTCAAAAATTACCCGTTTCCGCATGTTGTAACTTTCTGTGTGTGCTTATAATAGTGTAAGTTTTCTGTAAAAATACGTATCAACCCCCAACTCGACGGGAGTCAATGGAAAGCTAAGTCCTGGAATTTTACGTATACCGCCCCATATACACATGCGAGATGGCGTCCGGCTTTCATCAGGGTCGGGATATGATCCTCCGGCACCGAAACAGTGAGGAACCACCCATCCGTCTGCTTATCAGCCTTGAGTAGCAGCCAGTCCGTGATGTTCACCCAGCGGTTCTGGTACGCCAGCACACGACCGATGTCGCGTGAGCCTTTTCAGGCTCCCTGGGCATCAGGGATAAGGATACCATACTTGATTCTCCGTGGTATCTCTGACTGTGTCTTTATGATCAGCGAGGTGTTGGATTTAAGGTCGAGGGTAGAAATGTTCCCCTTTAACTAATCCAGAGCCTTCTGATCGCCGCACCACAGCTTCAGGACACCCTCCATGTAAATGGGTTGGCCTCTAAAAACTGGGCCCGACGCATCAGCGTTCTGGCTACCCCAGGCCTCGTTGATCATCTTCCTTTGTATTTCTTATGTAAGAAAATAAATTGTAAAAGAAGCAGCAGAACAGAGACCTTTGTGAAATGAAACCTGTATCATATCATGATGACATACTATATGTATACAATACAAACACTCACGCCTGTCACCCAGAGGGGTAGGCAGAGACTACGGACTTCCATTTGGCGCGATCCTGACACACTTCTCTCGCCTCCTTTACATCCATATATTTACGCATACACGCTCGTCGGTTAAGGGTACTCCTAATCTGGCCCATTTTCAATGTATCGCCGATTTGGTCGATAAATCTTCGTCTAGGGCGTCCCTTCTCGACTTTGCCGTTCACTTCTGAAACATAAATTTGCTTTGTCACTCTTTCCTCGTTCATTCTTTCTACGTGACCAAACCACCGAAGCATTCCTTTTTTAATCCTAGTCATCTTGCAAACCACACTTTTCTCTTATTACACTATCAATTTAAAGAAATGATACTATATGTCACACTATATATCTTGGTAAATATTCTTCTTTTGAAACTAAACAAAAAAGAAAACTAATTAAACTATATTTGAATCCTTATCTTCCGGATTTAGTTTTTATGTCACAACATCGTTATGTATTAAGCTTTTTCAATTACCCAATATATATATATATATATATATATATTCATATATATTCATAGATAAGACAGTTACTTTAAAATAATCTTTTTAACTATTTTTTAGCAATTAAGCTTTTTTTATCAATTTAATGTAATTCGAGACAAATATCTATTTGATTGGATTGTTGATTTTACAGTATATCAATCCTTACTTGTGCAGAAAAATAAATTATATGTTATAGCCATGCTGCAACCATATTTAATAGTATAGTTGTAGCATGAATGGGTCTCTCACAGAATACCAGCGTAAAATAGCAGCTTAACGCTGTTGTGTTTCGTATGGTGAGTGTAGAGAACCGGAGACCCTTTTTACTGGAAACGAGGCATTCCATCTTAGACCTCACGGGAGACAACGCATCTGCATTTTGATTCGTAACCGAGGATTGATGTAGATATCTATGGGCCACAGCAACGACTTACCATCAGGTGGACTGTGTGCTCGTTTGTCACCCTTATCCTATAAAAAAAATGTTTGCATAATAGAATCTCTATGTTAGTTTTTAGTCATTCTTCATTCATTCACTGCAGCCTATCCAAAGTCCTTTGCTGAACATAGGTTTCCCCCACAGATTGCCTCAATACAAGATAAGGGGAATATTTGCTTGAGTTGTTACACTTGGCTGGCAGGTTGGCAGCTGCAGTTTTTTATTATTTTGAGTTGTTATAAGGTTGCTGTTACCAATATCCTGTTTTATAGCCTCCTTACGTACGACACCCACTGCATATGGGATAGTACATTCTCTTAGCCGTCACTACACAGTTAACGGTTTATACAGTAATAAGATATTTGTCTTTCATTTTAACTATGAAAAGTGAAATCTTTTTTGTTGCCCTGCCTTATTTAGAATATTTATTTACTTTTTTTATTTGTGGTTTTATATTTTCAGGCTGGTATAGAGGATTCAGCACAACTAATAGATCGGCATGGGGGATATTCCCAGCATGCGTTGTATCGATTCGTCCTTGCACTGTGAAAGGGTCAGGCGCAACTGCTATTGCTGAGCTGAAAGATGATCCCTTGGTTAGAGAAATAGCAAGTGTTTTGAGGGACTGGGCACGGCTATGGAAGAAACTTTACGTGGTGTGTATTTTTCAGTTTATTTGACTCTTAAAGCCATCTGCCAGAAAACCATTTTGTAATGAAATGTTGCCTCTAGTATGGCTGTTATTAAAAAAAAAAAAACTAACAGATTAAGTAGTAGATGGTAATAAGATTAATATGTTTTTGTTCAAACCGTGATAGCTCAGGGATAAGTTGCATTAATATTTTAAAGTAAGCAAGCAAACCCAGTTTAATTCTCAACGACATCATTGAAATTGTTAATGAAATGTAATTTTTACTGCTGATATGCCACATGTTTAGTAGTTATATAAGTCACTGTGAAGGAGTCCACAATTTCCAACCAAGCAACAATGTGTAATCACTTCTAGAAGGTTTCATTATTATAATATGATATTTTCTTCTTCTACTTCATCGGCCTATAAAAGTGCATTGCATGAGCCTCTCCCGCTCTCCCGTTTTTGACAAATTAACAATCGCACTACCAGTGGTCGAAATCTATCGCTATCTGTTAGAAGTCATAGCATCGTTTTGGTATTTCCTATAGTCGCTTCTTACAACACCCGCCAGACGAAATGTGGTAATGGATTTTCTTATTCGAACATCATACGACATATGATATGTTAGCTTCTTTGCTTATGGCCTGTAAACATTGGTTATGCTGTAAGACAGTAGATAACTGTTACTTGCAAGATATGTTAGTTGTAATATACTAAAACTAGTTATTAAAATTATAATATATTTCTCCTGACTCAATTTAACTATGGCGTCTAAAACTGTTGTTCGTAGAGTCCCCTTTCCTGTATAGCTTCTTCCCTTTTTTCGTTTCGAATATTTTCTTGTTATATCCATTAGTCGAGTCAACCGTTCCATAGAGCCAAGTTAAGGTAGCTCAATATAACAGTAGTCGTATATTCACAATACGCGAGCCACCTGGTTTTGATTCCCACTGGTACCAATGAAATTGTTAATTGCAATTTTAAGTGCTATTTTATATGTAGGAAACATCGTATGGAAACCTGCATGTCTGAGAAATCTATACAAAGAAATAAAATTGAAGTCGCGGGGAACTGCTAGTTAAGAAATATATGCGTATCTAAACCATAAAAGCTCCAGTAACATGCATTGGAGCTGCGGGGCTCTAAAAGCCCGCTCAGAAATGAGAGGGTACCACCTGTCCCTAGCTCTATGACAAATAATACTGTTTTTGGTTATTTACTTAAACTCTAACTTTAACGTGCATATTCGTAATCTCGACTTCTATCTTTGGTTTTTGTCTTTCCTCAAGTAAATTAATTTAATTTGTCCCCACTGTTTCATTGATGCTTCGATTGATGAATTGAAGCTTCCATAAACAGACAAAAATTCTTAAAATTTTTGGTTTAATAGTTGGTAGTTAGATCCATGATAAGCATCACCCCACCATTAATACAAAAACAAAAAATACTACCTAATTATTAAAAAACTAATCTCCCTTCGTTGCTTTATTATATTTACATGTAGATAACGACATTGTTTACATTGCTTGTATGTTTTGCGCACGATTTTAATCAAAATGGCATCAGAAAAAAATCAAGTCAATATTGCATTCGCCACTAACTTCCAATACTATCATGACATTAAATATGGTCAAAGTCCGCGGCCCGGAAGCAGTCAGACGCGCGCGACATATTTATTATTATATTGCGTAATTGTACGCGCAAAAACGGAAGCACTCCCTTCACATCGCCCTCCCGTTACTGATTGTTATTTGTATCGAACAAAAGCAAAGAACATCAACGTCTAATAGAGCTTCTTTCTGCTATATATATCATATGGGAAGAGACGTGAACCGGAGACCTATTTTACTGGTGACAAGTGTAATAAAGCAACTGCATTGTTATACTTAATCGAGGAAAGAAGTAGGTGTCTATTGGCCACAGCATTCACTTAGCATTAGTTGGACTGTGCTTATTTATTATCCTTATATCTATTAAAAAAAAAGTCTGCAGTGTACACCATATTTTACAAATTCGCATGTATCGCATCACAAAACAAAAAAGATATTGGACATTCCAAATTTTTTATTTTAATATTATATGTTCCGAATCGAGAGTTGTTTATCCTGTAGTAGAATTTTTTTGGCGATTTATTTCCTATTAATTTCAATTTTAATCAATATAGACACAAAAATACCTACAGTTGCAGCAAGACTACCACGTTAATCTAAATTTGCGTTTCGGACATGGTTTCGCATCCTCTCATGCGTCCAATTATTGCTACAAATGTTTCCGACTCGTTCCGATCTTACAAGATCCATTTTTCATCACAAGTGACAATTTCATTCAGAACTTTCGCTACCCACTTTTAGACCTTAATTTTCCAAATTCGAAGCAGCCGCATTAATATTGTATTATCACTTTTCTTAAAGGATGCTGTTAACTCTCTAAAGATATTGTTTGACAGAAATTCTCTTTCAATTTAACTTTCATTCCGTCGTTGTCGCTTTTAGTCTCTTGTCGTCCACTAGTAAGTGTGATGCCATACACATCGTGAATATTGTGTGCTGTCTGTACAGGATTGGACAGAACTCATATAACAGACAAACACATCGATATCAAATAACAAATGAACAAATTGATTAAAAAAATAATTTTCTGATGTTAGTAACAACACCAATTAGAATTGGGTATTCCAAATCGAATACAAGCTGTCCGGTTTTAAACTAACCAGTATAAGAAACGGTGACGGCTCCGTGGCGCAGTGGCTTAGCCAATGAGTTGCTGCGCTGGGGGCCGCGGGTTCGAATCCCGCACGGAACAAGTATTTGTATGGCTTACAAATAATTGTTCCGGGTCTGGATGTTTGTCCTTGTGCAATTTGTGTTTGTAAACTGCCTCCACGATACAGGAGAAAATCCTAGTGTGGGGGTAACGTTTTTTAAAAAGAAGAAGAAAAAAGAAAACTGCGAAGGTATTAAATTATTTATAGAGATAAAAAGGTTATCATTAATACAAAAGAAGCAGGTGCTTTTACAACTACCGTTTTATTTTTGCAAGCGGATCTTATTTTAATAATTTTTACATCTTTAAAACAAAATTTTCGAGGTGACGCCTGATTCTGTTAATTATTTAAATTAAGCAGCCTAACTGCTTAGCAATGTCATGATTTTGAGAGCCTGAGGTCATTTTAAATTGACAACATAGTTAAAAATATAGGTAATGTATATTTTCTTGTTTTCCATTCTAATTTGGGAGTCTTCTCTAAGAATGTTCGTTTGAACTCTATGACTATATTAGATCTTTAAGCATGTTTGTGGGTCGGATTGCGGTATTGAGGCAGCTGCTGAGGAAGCTGTTATATAAATAGCTGTTATATTAAGTAATTTTAAATAAATAATTACTTTAATATAGTAATGTACAATGCCTTTTAAAAGAACAAATCATATCAATACACCATCCATTACATTACAACTCGGCTGGGCAGCGTTCGGGAGATTACGAAACATCTCGTCAGGTTATATCTCAAAACTTGAAAACAAGATTGTACAACTAGTGCGTGTTGCCAGTGACGACTTCTGGATCTGAGACCTTCACTGCTAGCCGTATGAGAAAGCTCAAGGTCTTTCAGTGAGCTATGGCGATGGCTATGCTCGGGGCTTCGCTGCTTGATAAACTTAGAAATGAGGATATCCGCAGTAGAACCAGAGTAACCGATATAGCCCAACGGATTAGTAAGCTGAAGTGGAAACGGGCCGGCCATATAGCTTGAAGAACCTACAATCGATGGGGAAGAAAGGTTCTCGAATGGCAGCCTCGTACCGGTAGGCGAAGTGTAGGGTCGTGCTTTGTGGCATTTCTTGGTGGAGCCCAGTAGTGGACTTGTGCATTACATCAATTCCAGAAAAGTGGACTGATTAAATGACGACTACTTCTCAAGGAATCAAAACGAACACTATTATTGAAGTAAAATTCAAAATCTTCATAAGCAATATTCCGCTGCGTTCTAGTTCCCGCCAAAACTGTCGTATAAGTAATATAAGGAGCGAAATAAGTTTGCAGTGTGGCTTATATGTACATACAGTGTCATTATGATCAAGTTATACATTCTTGATGAGTAGAATTTTCCTTATTAAGCTTGGATTATCTAGCAACTTACGTAAATTTCGCCTTATAAAGTGTATTACAAGTAAATGTTGGTTAATAGTAATAAGTAAGAATTCTAAACTGTACTACTGAGATTTATCCAACATTTACTCATTTAAACCTTACAACAAGGTAAAGAAATCTAACTATTTTCTCTGGGTATATTATGCCAGTAATTACATGCCAAGAGGCATTCCATCTTAGTCCTCAGACGTGACAATGCATATGCGTAGCTTTCTTTGTTTGATTTTGATTGGAAGTGTCCATTGACTGTAGTACCCATTTACTGTCTGGTGGAATGTATTTTCGTTTGTCACTTTAATTTAATAAAAAATCCCAGTCAACCTTCGACCTTATCGCATAAGCGTGCATCGGATGGGCAAAAACTAGTTAGTGCCTCTGTGTTTTCGCGTACACTAATTTATAGCGTTAGTACCTGTTCCCCGCGACCTTGCCCGCACGGAATTATTTTGCTCGGAACCCTAAAATAAAAGTAACAGTTACTCCTTATAACATCAGCTATCTGCCAGTGAAAGTCCTATCCAAATCGGTTTGCAGGTTTTTGCGTGATTGTTCAGACGGACGTCATGTTTTTTTTCCGACTTAACATTTATCGTTATATTTTGGCCAATTTACACACTATCTTTTTTAGTTATAACATGTGTTATTCTGATGTATAAGCTATATAATTGTTGAGTTTCATTAAAATCCATTTAGTAGTTTTTGCGTGAAAGAGTAACAAACATCCATACCTCCTCACAAACTTTCACGCTTATAATATTAGTATCTTTTTTATATATATAAAAAAACTTTATAGTTTTATTTCTATAAAATATTAATAAAAAATAATTGTGAAACATAAGATCAATTTCGTATTGTATACTGTTTGAGACGAAGTATTTTACTACTAGCAACACATTGTTATTAGTTTATAGGAATTAAACTAAGGAAAGACTACCGATCCGCCCCGGTTTCGCGCGGGTGATTTTTGGATCTCGACAACGGGGCCACCTACCGGGTTCAATGGTGAATCTAAACCATTGTCGAATTACTTAACCACATACACAAAATTTCATCAATATCGGTCCAGCCGTTGAGGAGGAGCTCAGACACATACACACGAATAGAAGATTTATATAGGTATATATAAAGATACGTCTGTCGGGGCATGCAGACATAGCAATCTCTCATCTAAAAGAAGCAAACATTGTTATTTTAACCATATCATTTTTGTTCATCGGTCATCACTATTTTCATACAAATGGAGGCTGGCTACTGAATAATTTACTTGTAGCAGTGGCTCTTTCTGTCGTACCTATTTTGGTCGCCAGGCAGCAGATACTGCTGTTCCAGTTTTAAGTATAACTACAGGTTATACGTGGTAGAGCCATGCTGCAGCTATATTAGTAGTATAGTTGTAGCACGAATGGGTCGGCTCGACCGGGGAAGGACCACGCGCTCACAGAATACCAGCGTTAAATAGCAGTATACATTGCTGTGTTTCGTATGGTGAGCGTAGAGAACCGGAGACCCTTTTTACCGGAAAAGAGGCATTCCATCTTAATCCTCACGGGTGACACGCATCTGCATTTTATGCGCAAACGAGGATAGATGTAGATGTCTATGGGTCATAGCAACCACTTACCATCAGGTGGACTGTGTGCTCGTTTGTCACCCTATCCTATAAAAAAAAGGTTGTAAATCATTGTATGGTATAATTTGAGTTAACAATGTTATATTTTTATTGAATAAATGTTACCAAACGAGAACGCAGTCCACCTGATGGTAAGTGGACGCTTTGGCTAATAGACATCTACATCTATTAGTTCAAAGTCGCTCCTGAGGATGATAATAGAATGCCTCTTTCTTTCCAGCAAAAAGGGTCTCCGGTTACTCACCACAAGGAACAGCAGATTTATAGTGCTATATAACGCTGGTATTCTCTGCGAGCGTGATCCTTCTCCTGTCTTCCTTCGCTGCCTTATCCGTGCTGTTGCCGACTTATTTGTTCTATATCCAACCTATTCTATATATACGAGTACATTGCATTAAAGATCTACCACAAAAGACTTACGAGTACCCTTCTTTGTTTGGAGTCGGTTTCAGGTGTCCATGACTTGCTGTGCTCCTTGTTACTTAGACTTTTCACTTGATTGTTGTTATAACAATGACCATATAAACTCACCTTTGAATCTATTTCTAAATATATTTTACCAACTTTCAGGAGCGAGAAACATACAGATTTAGTGCGGTGGCGAAAGTTATGAGAGAGTTGTTGAGCGGTCGCCGTGCTCTCCTCGCTGGTACACTCACCCAGGATCAAACCAGAGCACTCCGTTTGAAACTGGTCGCCAAACTTGATTGGGGGAATAGGTAAGTCTATTCACTAGTTTATCTTAACGTGTTTTTAGCCTTTGGATTTAAACGTGGATTTCAAAATAATTTGTAATGAAAGCAAGGCAATGAAATTTTATCAAGCATCAAGGATTATCAAGAATATATTTTTTTTAGTGAATTTTAGATTTATTCATAAGGGGAATAACATATTTTTGGTATTGGATCTTATTCACTACTGATGCTGATTAATTTTTTTTAAATATATTTTACCGTTGCCTTTTTTATTTTTACATTTGAAAACCGTAGTAGCTCAGGGGCTAAGTGCTCGGTTAAATTTTCACAGACAGTGCGCAAGCCGGGTTCTAATCCCGCTGACGCCAATGAAATTGTTAATTCCAATTTAAAGTGTTGATTTTCCACGTACTCTGCGGGGAAAGAAAGCACCGTGAGGATACTTACATGTCTGAGAAATTGAAAATATTTCGAAGACATTTGGAGTCTGCCATCACGCATCAGGTTAGCGACGGATATTGTCTGATTTAAAAGACTCCGAAATGAGGGGAAGCCTCCCAGTGGCATTGTGGTGGCAATATTCCTTTATTGACGAAAATGCTGTAAAGCTCTTGAAACAATCGTTTTGTATGCATGTTATTATTAATAACATCACTATATACAAATCATATGACGTCTATATAAATATATAGCATATATATAACTTGAAATAAATTGATGTAAAGCAATATCATAACAATCTCCATAGCCTTAAAACCTTAATCTTAAGCTCCCTTTTATGGCCAGCGTCTCAGTTCCATATTATATCATCACTGACATCGCGCACTGACTGGCTTTGGTATTATTATAATGAAAAAGCAAAATACGGAGTTATTCCCACTAGTGTTATAAAATTATACTGCAGATCGGTGACAGACTTACGAGGGTCGTTCAATGTATGGGTATGTTAGAAAAAAAAGATAAAATTATGAAATATTTTTATCCCATGACATCAATACGTAAATGTATTTGTTCGTAAAAAAACTTTTCTATTCCCTAGAAATAATATTCTTCGTCATGGCCTGAAAAATGCTAATTTACAGCGGACTTGAGTTCATTATCGTCAGCAAATCGCTTTCCCCGAAGCTCCTATTTTAAGTTTGGGAATAAAAAGTAGATTTTTTTTATAGGATACGGGTGACAAACGAGCACACAGTCCACCTGATGGTAAGTGGTTGCTGCGGTCCATAGACATCTACATCTATCCTCTGTTACAAATCAAAATGTAGATGCGTTGTCACCCGAGAGGACTAAGATGGAATGCCTCATTTCCAGTAAAAAGGGCCTCCGGCCACCTGCACTCACCAAGCGAAACGCAGAGGTAAACCTCTACTTCACGCTGGTTTTCTGTGAGGTCGTGGTACCACCCCGGATCGAGCCGGCCCATCCGTGCGACAGTAAAAGCTGCCGCGTGGCTCTACCACTACTAACTAGATCTGGGCTGTATGGTGGGTGGTTAGTTTCCTCAAACCCGCAGTTTCGATAGCATGTCATACCTCGTACAGCCTTGGAGAGCATGCCGTGTAAACCGGTGCGTTGTCATGAATAAGCAGCACTCCCTTTGTCAGCGTTACTCTTCTTTTCTTTATTGCTTTTCTCAAACGGCGTAAAGTGGCTTAGTATTTGTCAATAGTATTCCTTTGGAATTACAAAACACTGTGGCTATGATTTTACCGGCCGATGATGTGACTTTGAACTTTGCATATACTCCTGTTTATTAACCTCAGCGCCATAGTGGTGAACCCACGTTTCGTCTCCTGTAACTATCCTATCGAAAACACTTGTTTGGTCGTCAACACATAACTCTCAAAAGTCCCTACAACACTCAAACCGCGATTGTTTTTCAAGAGCAATGAGCATTCGCGGCACCCATCTTCCACTAACTTGTGAGGTTGAGATAGTCATGCAATATGGTGTGTATGGTACCAACGGATAGGTTAGTCATTTCTGCTAACATCTTAATTCTTACTCGTGCATCTTCTAATACAAATTTTTCAATAATTTTCACATTTTCTTCTGTAGCCGCTGTGATTCGCCCACCCGGGCGGGGCCATCTTCGATGCATTCCTTGCCCCTTTGATGAGCCGCGTTTTGGTAAACAGGCACCATTTGTTCTTGGATGTTTTTTTGAATTTTTCCTTGTTTAGTGAGGAATTTAATTACAGCACGACGAAATTTCATATTTATACCATCAGGTAGTTTTGTCAACGAATCAATTTTTTTTTTATAAAATAAGGGTGACAAAAGAGCACACAGTCCACCTGATAGTAAGTGGTTGCTGCGGCCCATAGATATCTACATCTATCCCCGATTATGAATCAAAATGAAGATGCATTGTCATCCGTAAGGACTAAGAGGGAATGCCTCGTTTCCAGTAAAAAGGGTCGGTTCTCTACACTCACCATACGAAACACAGCAGTGTCAAGCCGCTATTTTACGCTGGTATTCTGTGAGAGCGTGGTCCTTCCCCGGTCGAGCCGACCCATTCGTGCTACAACTATATTACTAATATATTATGTAGCTGCTGCATGGCTCTACTACGTGTGTGTTCAATTATTTTAACTACCCATATTATTAGCAAATTACCCTAATACCGCGATTAAATTGAACGCCCCTCGTAGTTAATGTGGAGTCCAAACATTTGTTTTTGTACGATTGTTGGCTTTGACTGGATTCGAACCCACATTGAATGAAGACAAATTCCCTGATAACTAAAGCACGCGGTTGTTATATCTACATGCTTAGCTGTAATAATCGCGATAAATAAATAATTTTCTGCGATGCTAAATTATACGATAATTCTTTGACTGTGCGGGCAACCCTAATTCAATCCTCGCTCGAACTTGTTATACTACACCAAATCTAAGAAACACCTTTCGACTGCTGTCACATTTATTTGACTAGGCATTCCAACTGAAAAATCGGTACCTACGATATTCGATTCTTAAGAGATATCGATATCGATTCTTCAGAGTTGGCATTTACAGTTTTATCTAGATTAATACCAGAATAAAGTAGAATCAGATAACTTAAAACATAAAATTTATCAGTTCTTTTTTTATATTTATTGCTTACTGCAAATTTCTTGAGACAAAGTTATATAAATTAAAGTTTACAACTAGATTAAAAATTTATTTAATCACTCACTACAACTAGTTGAGCTGTCGTCGTCATCATCGTTGTTTACATTAATTATTATTTGATTTTCTATAATGCATTCAAAATGAATGTCTCTTTCATAGTCGTCCACAACAATTATCTTTGTTTTCTCCATCACTTTGGCCCAGTCATCCCTTGTATAGTAGTTGTATCTTCTACAAAACCTCCTCCGGCGGATCCCACAAGGCGACCTTTTCCCACGGGCACGCGTCATCTGTCTCAATTCTGCGGCACAGTGTGGTTGGCGTTTAGCCATGTTTAATCAATAAAATATAAAGTTGTCCCAATTGGTTATATTTTTAATTTCTCCTAGAAATAAAATTCTTTGCATTTATGTCTCTAAATAATTATTTTGCCAAACCAATAATAATTAAAAAATGTAAAGGTTCGATTATTTGAATATTTTTACCGATTATTCGCATTATCATGAATTGGAATCATCCAAACACTACGGTAAGGTGCATAACGACATATCATTGAAACAACGACATGCATAAAAGTTAATTCTGGTTAATTTTATTATATTTTGCTTTCTTTGTTTGAAAGATCGAATTTAAATTAGTGATAAATACATGTTATATTGAAATATAGATAACTTCATATTTATTTTGATTTACGTAAAAGGTTATTTTAAATCGTGTTAGTACGCTTGTACAAAGTTATTGCGGAATGATTAATATGAAATGTCAAAAGGTATTTCTTCGATTTGGTTGAGTATAGTCGAAATTTTAAGGGTTGGTTTACCATATTATGCTCGTTGGTGACGGTAAACATCGTTGACGAACTTGCAACTCCAAAAACTTAAAATATTTTGAGACATGAAATTTCGCCATCACGAGTTGAAGCAGCGTTTACTGGTAGTTTCCGATATATGACAAACGAAGTCTTTAACCCATTTGTCAAATTGCAACACATGTACATTTAGATCGTAAGTTTTTAATTTTTTTTCGTCATACGTTACTCTGTACCTGATTTAGTCACTGAATTTACGTGTGTGATTGGAGAAACAAATAAATGCTTTATCTATCTATCAGCATTTCGGACTCTTACATGATCTGAAACCGTCTCGGAGACGCGAAATCTGTGAGACATAGTCAGACCGTTACTTGTTTTCTATTTTCGTTTTCTATTATTTAATTATTGACATTTGTTCATGACACAGTCTTATATTATTCACTGTCAACTTGTTTGTAGGTTATTATTTAAAACTATTCTAAGCGGCTTGTTTTATTTTTGACACTTAAATGACGATGCTTTTTTATCTACGGAATACGGAACCTGAATTAGTCATTTTAAAATCATTGATTTAACATAAATATTAATAGTACTTAAAAAAAAAATTTATATAGTATAAGGGGTGACAAACGAGCGCACAGTCCATCTGATAGTAAGTTGATGCTCCGGCCCATAGTCACTAACGTCTTTCGTTCTTCGATTAAGAATAAAAATGCAGATGCATTGCCACCCGTGAGAGCTAAGATGGAATGCCTCATTTCCAGTAAGAAGGGTCTCCAGTTCCCTAAACTTACCATACGAAACACAGCAGCATTCAGCTGTTATTTGACGCTGGTATTCTGTGAGGGTGTGGTGCATCCTCGGTCGAGCCGACCTATTTGTGCTACAACCACAATATAGCTGCGGCATGGCTCTACTACTTATAAAACAGAAATAAACAGAATGTGCCAACTTGCCTAGCTTGTCATAAAAGGCGACTAATGGGATATTGGATTGTTGATTGTGCAGGCGGTGGGCTAGCCACCTAGGGTAAACAGTACTAATGTTGGCACTCCTACAATGATTGGCACTTTGCTATTTTAATCTGAATATTAAGAATGTTTTCCTTTTTCTATATCACAGCTACACAGATATTGCTAAGATATATAATTACTTATACTAACAATACACATTTATATTTAAAGCATCAACTATTTTCCTATAAGGGCTGTTTTAAAAATGTGTGCATCACTATTCTTTGGAGTAGATGGTAAAACCTATTATTTTCCTCCTATAGAAAATGTGATCAGACGTTCAAAAGTTAGTGCCTAGAGAGAGAGTTATTTGCTATCTTAACGGCGCAACTTTGCCCAAGTCTCGCCATAATACTTATAGCCCTTAACCTGAATGCAACGCGACTATTTCAATCAGCTGATATCACTGCATTTCGGCCCACCAAAGATATATGGCGTAAACCTGTCTTTCGACAAACAATTTCACAAAAAGGTTACTAAAACAGATGCGGGCCTATATTAGCAAGAGTTTTACCGTATTGAAATAAATCTACATTATGAAATGGTTTTGAGACATGTGGGTTGTGCCCATTTAGTCCAGACAAAGTGGATTAAACAAAGTTTCCGGTGCCCTCGAAATCACCTTTCCTTGCCATTACGCCGGATTACCTAATATTTTAAGAATAACGACTAATAACGACTGAATCAGAAACACCTTTATCAAATTTGCCTTGTATCCTTTCACTTAATAATGGTTTATCAGTACCAGAGCGTATACAACCTGCAGAGATTATTTTTGAGTATCAGAAAGAAAACTAACCCTTATGTTTTTCATCAACTAGGCAGCAAATTTAAAATTTGTTGGAGGTGAATGGGTGATTGATTGAGTTTTTTCCATTGCCAAATACGTATTAAAAAGCAAAAAGCAGGTAAACAACGCTGTTATTTTGTGCTAACAAGTGAAGATTCGGAAGCAGCGGAGCTAAAAAAATAATGGAAAAATTGGGCACAATTGGAAAATGCAGAATTGAATTATTCAGTCAAATATAAAAACAAACAAACTGACAAACAAAACAAGACGAACGAAGCCAAAAACTCTGATATTATATCAGATGAAGATCTAAGGAAAATTTTTGAAGAAGATTTGTTCAAAATAAGTCTTATAACAATAAGATGGGAGCTTAGAAAGATCTGGGTATAACTTTTTAAGACTTCCAATGGTGCCAATGATTATACTTAATTTACAGCGCCATTCACTATGCTAAAGTGCCAATGATTGTAATATTCCCTAGAAAAAAGTTTTATTAGATTTTTAACTTAATTAAACATTTCTTTTTAAACGTAATGCATTATTTTATTTATGGTTATTTAAACTAAAATCCAACAAAACAATAAAAATATAACAAATTTGTTTATTTACGAGAATTAACCACTTACAAGTAGAAATCCGCTTAAAGTGCCAATCATTATACTGCTTACCCTATTACTATCAATTACTACATTTATTCCAATAACTATTCAAAATAATGGGTATAGATAGAATTGTGAAAGAACAATTCTATCTATACCCATTATTTTGGCTAAACGTGATTCAAGTGGCTCGCTGCTTTATGGACTACCCACTTCCTCAGGGATTACTATTATGACCCGTATAATGATGATGATACGTCTGGAGATGGTTTAAATAAAACATTTTTATAACTTTTTAATCTTTTATTTAATCAATATCAAGAAATTACACAGGAAATAATCGATACAAAGGCAGTCTTCCTAAAAATGTGTTGAATACAACAATATGATTTTATTCTAGGAATGCTTAAAAGTAAAACCAATTGGTCCTTAGTTTAGTGTCAAATTTTTATATTTATTCTACATACCTATAGTATACTGTGTGCTATTATGCCTTAATTATTAATATGGAAGAATTTGGAGATTCATCGAAGAAATAAGCGACTTTAGCATAAGACACTTGATATGGCTAAAATGACTGAGAAATAACAATTTATCCTAAAACTAAAATACAGTGTCATTATTTAAAAAGTGGCTTTTTCGAAATCATTTTTCAAAACAAAAATGCAAGCCTGGCGCTTTTACACGGCCCAATCTATTTATCTTCAATGGCACAATGGTCAGAGTATAGAAAACGAGTATAATAATATTTTATACAAATTACACACCACTTTTGCACCAATATTTACCTAACTAAATATCATTCAAATTTTACATTTTATTTTCTACTTAAAAAAGCAAGTTCCAAATTAAAAACAGACGTCTTTCATTCGTGATCGTTTGATCAGATCAGAAATGATCGTTTCATACTTTCAACCGTCTTTTTATTTTCTTATACTATGTAACTTGTAATCAGTAGCAAAAATAATACTCTCACGAATGTTAACACGTCGCAGGGCACTTAAACTTAGTATTAACTGTATAAAATGTCTTTTTAAATAGCGCTTTAATGTTTCATATAAAATACAACGTTTTGAGCGATAAGATTTTTATTTTGACACAATTATTAAATATTTCGGAAGAAAAGTATAATCACTCAATAATTAAGTGTATTAACTTTGTTTATATCTGATGTAAAAAATGTATAGTTCTACCCTGTATAGGTAACATCACAGATCCCAGACAGCTTTTTTAAAAATTTATGTAGAAAAATTCTTGTGTCCATTTATATTTTTTCTACATCTTAATAGTATTTGCTATAAAATGAAATAATGATTATCATGTTCTTCAAATGCATTGAATTCTCCACGATTTATAATAAAAATAGTTCATACACTCATAAGATTATTGAGACCACGTTAAAGCTCCGTTTACATGGCAAACTGTGGCTGCGTACCTTTACGAAGTATATATTATCGCCTATAGATAAAAAGAAGGAATGTTTATTGTCTTTACGAGTAAAATCTTTAAACACAAGCTACTGTAAACATGATCATACTTTAAAAATGTAAAGAAATTATATATTGAAAAACTCAAGTATAAGGAACAAAAATGGCTCTCGGATACACTGTTTGAGATATCGCGCTAACCTAAAATTAACTAAAATAATCCCAAAAATGATGTTCACAATTTCTCAAAGAATGTATAGGAGACATATTATAACATGTCAGTTGTTATTTTCTATTTAGATTACGTTTCTGTTTCTTTCGCGAACTTTTCCATAGTGGGATAAATAGGTGCCATTTCGAGAGTAGAAGGTGCGGAAGGTGCGTTGGATCCGAGGTGAAGTCTCCGTGACAGTTCGTCTAACACTTCGCCGAACATACGGAGTGACATATTTTGACCAAGAAGGTGCAGCAAAAGAAAATCGCCCACCTTAAATAAATGTGAAAGAGCGATTAGTTAGTTATTAGTTGTAAAAAATATCAGTCCATGGCAGGAGACAGACCACTTCAAATGAATAGAGCTGACCTTATTTTTTATTGTAAATGTTTCTTTTAAAATTTAGTTTAAAGTTATTGTGTCTTCCAATTAATTTACAGTGGTTATAATTTTTTTTTTTGTAATTCTAAAATAAACATATTCATAACAAACCTGAGTTTTCCTAACAAGAGCTTCAACGCCGTTCGGAGTACCAAAGCGGAAACGTCTCTTCAGGATTGTCTCTCGAGTACTCGGTAAAAGGATCACAGCCGCTGAGTACACTAGCGCCAAGCCGGAGAGCACCGACAAAATAATGAACCTAGAACAACCAAAGAGACCTTACGATACTCATCAAATAGTTTTTCGATAATCCTAACATAAATCTATACGCCTTGAAAATCTGATTACACATGAACAATTTTTTATGCATCTCACTAGGACTTGAGATAATATTCCTCTACAGGATATTGACAACCTTATTCTGAGTATGCCCAACCGATGCAGATGCGTTATGAATATCATGGGTGTTTTTCCTGATTATCAACTCCCAATTAATAAAAGGTTTTTATGGTACTTTATTTTTTAATTAAAAAAATCACTTTAATGATGTACAGTTTTCACGCTTGCGTTTTTCTCTACATACAAATTTGAAATCTTATTTTAGTCAATGTTTATATAATAAAATGCTAGATTATTAAACAAAAGATTTTTTGTATATATTATGTTACATGTCCTAAGAAAATATTGACATGCTCTTAGGAATTCATGTGATCATAAAATAGCCCTATAAGAGATATTTGTAATCTAAATCCGACGGAGTAACTTAGACAGCAATTTCTAAAGAACACTAAGACGACTCTAGCGTAGATAAACCCCTAGAGGTTTATTGTACTGGATAATGTAACATAATTATGCTTAATAAATAAAAAAGTCCCAGAAAGTATGCAGGTGTTGTCTATCAAAAAATTCAAAAATTATTACTAAAGAATACGTCTGACAAACTCCTGGGAATAAGATGAACGCTACCATGTTGATTCTAATATATTATTCATTGTACTACATTATACATGAGTCATTTTAGTTTCTTTGTTTTTCAACTACGAAATGCATTACAAATATGGAGAGTGGAAAAATAATAGCTTTAAGGAAGTAAGTTTGTTAACCTATCAAGGATTTTTTGAGGCGGGCATTTAAACGTACGCATAACATACTTGGCATGATAAAACAATAAAAAATGTAGATAAGCAAAAAAGTATTTCATACGTACCAGAACCATAAAAAGATGAAGATCTTTTCGTTAAGGATGTTAAGGGCGAGAACGCAGAGCGCATCGTGTTTCTGGATTGTTCCAGAAGCACCAAATTTGTGGAAGGTACATTTGGTAAGTCTGGGGAATACCTCGATCTGAAAAATGTTGAACGTATTTATTGTCTTCATATATAAAAATCAATTGCTGTCCGTTAGTCTAGCAAAAACTCGAAAATGGCTAGACCGATTTTGATGATTTTTGTGTGTATTTGAGTAGGTTCCTGGAAGGTTTAAAAACACAGCTGGACCCGGTAGGTAGCACTGTTGTCGAGATCCAGAAATCATCCGTGCGAAGCCACGGAGGATCGTTACTTATAAATAGTTTTTGTATCTGCAAGTCGAGTATATCAACGTTGGCTTAATTGTCTCTCTGTTACTTTAAATTAACGAGTTATACATTATTTTTGTGATTCAAAGTAAATTCTCTTTATGTTCTCTTATATTCAATGCAAATATGGTTTATGTGAAAACTTACCATGGGATCGGTACGTTGCTCCTGGTTCATATTAGAGAACTTTACTACATCTGTGCCGTAAGTCAAGAAAGCTCCACCGAGGAAAGTGTCAAGGAAAAATATGTTGCCAACCTAAACAGATTTTTTTAAATTAATATTGTGTTTCTATCTCTCATTCTATTACAGAATCGGAATTTATACTTACAACGTTAGCGAAGTTTAAAACTTCACAGAAGAAATAACCGAAGGAGTAGGTGTTGTGCATATGCAGTGTATCGTACAGATACTGTACTAGTCGAATCTGTAAATTAAATTAGGATATATAAGCCATAATTTAAAAAAAAGACAAAGAAACAGTTGACATGTTCATCATTGCAGAATAGAAACAAATATTCTTATTTCGGTTTTTAAACGCCTTTCATGTGGAATAAGTAATACTACTATATGCAATAACGATCGTCGGGTCAATTACAAGAGATATCAAATTTTATTAGTACGGAGCCTTATCTCAATTGTACCAATTGGTGAAACGGTATACTGTATCAGTCATAATTATACAGTACATGAACGCGGGACTCGTCAAGAATAATATAATGCCACTGATTGTTTACCTGACGTTTGCTCTTATCGTCGGCGATACAGGCCGATGTGCCCCGCATTCCTTCCGATATCATGCGAACCTTGCCCTCTTCCCAGTTCTTCCAGATCCAGTGGGGTATGTAGAACAGTAGGCCCTGGAATGTCAACAACATCGTATAATTTGACGACTAAAAATGCGTAAAATTTCATTTTAGTCCTCAGGGGTAACAATACGCTTATTTTGATACTTAATCGAGGATGTAGCTGTTTACTTCCGTTAAAGCAAAAAATCACCAGCCTTTGAAATTCTAATTCGGTAGGTATACTTTCTTTCGAATTACTTTCGAATTGAGCGCTCGTTACTCACAGTCATAAACGCAAAAAAAAACACCAGTCTGAAATATGATTCGAAGTTTTATGACGAAATTTCTGTCTATCAAGGTGCTGCAACGCGTGCGCAAGTGAAATTGTTATTTGGAGAAAAAGTTGTCGAATTCTCCACATTAATTCATATTTATACTCATGTTTGTTGAATTAAACTATTTTTTTATATAAAATTGAAATGACAAACATACTTACAGTTCACCTCATGGTAAGTGGCAACTGCAGTCCATGGACACCTGCAACTAACTTTAAATAAAGAAGCCTACAAATGTATCGTTACTTCTGAGGACTAATATGGAATGCATTACAGTCTGAAAGTATACTGGCGTTTTTATATCCTTCAGATCGGAACAGCTGTGCATGTACTACTATTTGGTGGTAGAAATAGTTAAATGAAAAAGGGTGGTAGGTTACACTGACGAAATCCTAAGAAAAAAGAATCTAATCCTGTCAGATGGAAAATGACGATGATGGCTGCAGGCTGATGATGAACATCAAAGGAAACTACTTATTTTACGGATTTTATCACGTTTAGTTAACTTATTTTTATATTCTGACAGAGGTGTTAGACTTCCCAATGTCATAATAACCCCCTATATTCTAGATCAAAATTATTAATTTTTAGTCCCATCAACGCAGAATGAGCTTATAGTATTTTGAAGTCTTGCAGTGGTATGCTTTGGCTGGAAGTTAATTTTATTACTTAAATGATCCCAAGTAGCACTCAGTCATCTTCTGTAATGTAATGTGATAATAGGATGTTTTTCTAAAATTCAATAGCCTCGTTAATTATTCTTGGTAAGAATCTTTGTTTTTGCATGGATTCAGTCCATCAAATCTAAAGTAATTGTATACATCGTAATAATTTTTTAGCATGTGATATTAACAATTCGATTAATCAGTTCATACCTGGAAGAACAACATGAACGGCACCCATTGATAGTAAGCGTGTATCCGCCTTTCCTCTCCATAATCATTGCCCAATCCAGGGTGAGCTATGCCTTTATTGTTGGAATATGGAAGTGTGAACGTGTAGGTGATCCAGCAGTAGGTGTTTAAAATATGCGCTGAAATCGCGCCGTCGTTGATGCAAGAGATCGGGTCGCCTGTAAAAAGGAAATGATTTTTTAAAAAATAAACAAGTTTATACTTAATATAATGGCTTTAATCAAAATAGCCTGTCTGCGATTTTCGAATGTTTCCTTTTTTTTTGCCTACAACGCTCGTTTACATTATAGGCAGTTTTAAAAAATATAACATGCGTTCAATAAATTTTTGCTTATTAGTTTAGAATGTCATAGAAAAAATACTAGCAATGCTATTAATATTAACCACTTCAGGTAAGGTGAGAGATTGTGTTAGGAGTGGTTCACGACAGTAGTCGATTTTTCACGACTGATGAACCTACGACTTTTTGAGCTAATAAAGGCTTTATTAGGTTACTGAATGGAAGTCCGTGGTCTCTGCCTACTCTTCTGGGTGACAGGCGTGAGTGTTTTTGTATGTATGAAGCTTCAACTACTTGAATTTTACAATTAGAAGTTCGCATAGCGCTTTGAATGACATTGTTTGCAGAGATCACATGGTGTTTGTTAACTTTGTTCATCAAAGAAATATATTTTGCAAAGAGTAATTTTTTTTTTTCATTATTATAATTTTTTGGTAATTTCGAGACTGTATCGAAATATGTGCTAGTCGTAGTCTTTTATAACACTAATATTTTTTTTATTTTTTATGAATAGCACCATATTATAAGTATATGACTATACCATATCACTCGTCGGTATTATCTTTGTTTTATTTATAATGTAATCAATCACAGTTATTTTGAAATATTACGCTAACATTTTGCTAACAAAACAAAATTATGCAACATACCACTGCTGGGCACAGACTCACTTCTTCGTGTTGTTCTATTTTAAACGTTTATTATTTTAGTTTACGCTATGATTTTGTTGTTCTCATTGTCATTTATCGTTACCAGTCTGGCCGTCCTTATTACGCGTAATCGTTTGTAAACGTAAAACTAAATTTAGAGACGCTGTATATCATTATTGCCTTTGTTTGAGTATTAATGGCTTTTTAGCGCGTTTGGCTAAGCGTTTGACTGCTAAGGCGCTGCAGGCCGCGGGCCGGCTTCAATTTCCGCACGGAATAAGTATTTGTATCATCTGCAACGACAATTCCGTGTTTTGATGGTCTCCTGTGAATCTTTTGTATGTAAAACGCCTCCACAAAAAAGCAGAGATAATTACATCCTACAGAAATTACTCGTCATTGTATCGGAGACGTAGCACAAGGCGGATGACGACATTGTCGAGGACGGAACTAACTGCAGTTGTCCCTGCTCGTCACAATTGTAACGACCCTGACTTGAATCACGTTGTATATGGACCCCAGTAGATTACATTCATAATATTTGTTACTATTATAAATAGAATAGCAGAGCACGTGGCTGGGTGCCTCGTTGTAAAACTGATGCGATGCGGTGCTTAATAAATGAAAGATAAGGTGTAAATCTATGACTTTTCCTGAGGAAGTAAAGTCTACTTACGTAATTACTTACTAACTTACAAATATAAATGTTTAGATGGAAGGTACAATACTCAAAATTTGTTCTATACAGGTGCTTTGATTTTAGTGGATGTGTATTTTGATTTTCCTTCTAGCTTGTCCGTCTTTTAGTATTATTCTGAGAAAGTGCGTTATTCACGTCTACAGAATGTTTTATATTTTTCCTTACTTGTATAAACCGGTTGCTAAAGTGACTAAATATCACCATACGCCGCTTCGGTCACGTCTGTACCTATACGCATTCATTTTCAACAAAACGTAAGGATCTCTATTCTCAATAGATTGGTTGGCATTGATCCACAGATCTGTCAATGGGTAATCATGATGCAAAACGCTACGATAATACGCATTGAGATTCGTTTGAATAAAAAATAAATATTTGATAGAGGTAAACAATAAATATTACCTTTAAGGTTTAAGTAAGAATTATTAAAAAAAAATTACTTACTTATACTATATATACTATACATGACTTAATATCCTTGGATCTGTATGAAATTTATATGGGATTAATAAAAGTATTAGGTTATACGTATCGGTTAAATACACCCGGAAAATAAAAGAAAATACTTATATGATATCAATTAAAAGAATAAAGGGTTTCTGAAAACGTCTGATAATATTTGAGTTGGGATTTCCCTTAGAATTCATTGTTATTTAACGGTTTTAAATAAAATTAACATAAAACTAAATTCTCGACTATGTTGTTTAAGCCAAATGCCTGCTTATTAATCCCTAACGAGCACTTGACATAGTTATCGTTTATCATCTAATTAGTCGCCAGTTTGACTTTAGCTAACATTAGACGCGCAGTGCACGCTGATGGATAGAAAATATTATTAATAAAGATGTTTGGTTAATCGCTAAATCATATAGCAGATTTTCGTAAAAGTTACTATTTCATTAACTTTACTAATCGGCAGCAAAAGTTATTAATTTGACTGTATTTTCTTGTTATGTTTAAGGTATGCATATAATGTTACATGATGTTTTCGAGACTTGGTTGGGCTCGAGTGCTTGGTAGTAGAAAGGACTTTTTTTTTCGTGGGGAAATCCTCATGGATACCTTCCGCTACGAGGGCAAGAAAGGGCCTAGGACCACCTTTTAAAGGTTTCAATCGCTTAGACGAAAATTACCTGTCAGACTGACTGAACTTATATTATTCAAAAAGCAATACATGTTTTACTGATTCGAAATCAACTTAGCTTTATTTAGATTAAAATTAATTTGAAAATCTAGTTAACGCAATCGTGGGTTCATCGTGTTGTAAATAAACCTATGCGGGTTGATTCTTGTTATGGTAATTACGTCCCGTTATTCCGTTTACTTGTGAGTTATCGGTGACACGTGTGATAAGGTTTTACTATCGACGATAGCTGCTATTGGCTGCAACTCGTTTACCTGCAAGCGCTTTACTGTTTTAGGTCACGGCAAACATCGGCCTGTTATGAACTTTATCGTTGCTTTGTATGGTACGTTGGTGAGCTCGTGAGACTGATGACGTTCGATGTTATAATACTTCGACTCGATGTAATTGTCGATCTTGAATCGATTCAAATTCAATTGTGTGAAAACATTGAAACATTGAAATACCCTTAAAGTTCATGTTTAAGATACATACATATACATACATATAATCACGCCTCTTTCCCGTAGGGGTAGGCAGAGACCAGTTCTTTCCACTTGCTACGATCCTTACATACTTGTTTTGCTTCGTCCGCTTTCATTATTCCCTTCATACATGCTCTACGGTTTAGGGTACTCTTGACCTGGCCTTTTGGTAACATAAATATGCAATGTAGGGTATAAAATAAGCTATTTTTGTGAATTAGTGACTTTTTTATGACTTCTTATGTGCTTATTTCGACATGAACGGGAGTCCGACGAGAAATAAATAATTTAGTAGAAAAGTAAAAAGTTCTTAAGTTTAAACTACGTTCATCAAACACTGTAAAAATTTCTGTTCTGGTCTGTTCTATACAATTTTCATAATATGGGCCTTAATTGTACGCAGGATTTGTCTTAATCGCCATGTTCGCAGACAGATTGGTAATCGACGTTTTCTATGTTTAACGATATTCTCCAGCGCCAATTTCTGGAAATTATTTATGGGGCATATCTATTGGGTATATTTACTACAGTCGCCTTTTACAACACTAATGCCCGAATACTCAAGCGCTGCTCAATTTTAAGACACTGCTAAGTCTTTGTGCAGTCTCTATCCCTTTAAGTCAAAGTGACTGTGATACTACGAGACTTAGCGACATCTTAAAATTGCGTAGCGTTTGAGTATTTAGCCTCTTCTTAAGCATTCTTAAGCAAAGCAGCAGTCACCACATACTTAATGACTTTTACAAAATATTATTGTAAATACTTGAATGTTTTGAATAATTCGAGCTTTCTCAAAATAATAATAGTTTATAGATGTATAATAAAGAATTGGGTACGGAATATATAAACACAACAGCATTAACTCATAACAGTTTCTCCTTCACCGTTCTGTTATCGCTCACAACTGCAATGGTGTTTTAATTACCAACACCTGGGGAGCAAATGTGATTGTTCAGATGTATACTTTGGCATGAACTTCAACGTTGCAGTCTGTGCAAAGAGCTGAGTGCCCGTTTTCTACCAATACAGATAAAGTCCCTTGGCAACAGACGTGTCTACTGTATAAGTAAATATTATGAGTTATGACACAAAGGATGAATGCTTAGATGTATAAAACTATAACATAATATTTTAAAAAGAGCTAAAATATTAAATTTTACAACGGTTATATACTTTAGTTCTGTTATATAGTGGTCGTTAGCGCAACTGCTGATCATGCGGTTCCAGGTTCGATGCCTGGATTGGACCAAAATCAGTTATTGGGTTTTTCCATTTTTCTATTAAGACATTCTCAGTAGCAGCCCAGAGTTAGGAAGAAATTTAACCCTCCTGTGCCTCGGAAAGCATCTAAAGCCGTTGATCCTTGCGCCTTATCTTTCTCCGGTTGTGTCGTATTCGGAATTTGTGAGTGAGGGAATAGAGAATGTACTAGTGTTTGCGCAGGCGTTCGGGCAATATAATAAACGTCTCATCAAGGCTTTAGAAACCCTTACGACTTGAATATACGCGTACTTGAACCGTCATTATAAGTTCATAACAATCCCGCTTAATACATGATGTTTAGATTCAGCGAACGTGATTTTATGCAGTCCAGGTCCGGTAATTGTTGTGATATGTAAGTAATAACGCGCTTACGTATGTAAAACGAAAGCACAAGCCTTTTGTTATGTGTAATAGCTTATACAATTTGAATTTTATTATACCAACGGGTAATAATAGTAATTTGATACAGGACAAATGAGGAGCGTTTGTTGTAAAGACTATTACTGGGTTGTTTTATTCCATTGACTACATATGCGTTAAAAATTTGAAGGGCGTTAAGTTTTTGTATATACATTTGAAATAAACAAAATAATTTTGAAGAATACTTGAATAATACACAAAAATTTTGCTTTTTAAACGTAGTATGAACGTTTTAAAAAGCAAAATTATTTTCGGGATAACGTCGAAAGCTAATAATTTTGTAAGCTATAGCATCGTATGCTTTATTTTTAAATAGCCCAATAAAATAAAATAAAAATAAGAAAAAGAAAGCAGGACGATGAAAATAATCTAAAATTCATTATTTATATACTTCAGTATTCTGGTCTTATTACCGAAGATTATACACTGAACTCAGGTACGATGTTTGGAGTAGTTTGGTGGATTTTACACTACTACACAATGTCATAGTCTTTCTTAATTCAAATATATTGAGAAAAGCCTGTTGAAAGATTGATCCACACTCATCATACTGGACAAGTAGGTTATTAAATGCATAGCCAATAATCATACTGGTGAATTGGATTCGGTCAATTTTAATAGATTTTTCGGTTATCATTCCGCAAAGCCTCGTCTGTTACATAGCGAGGTGCAACTACTTGCACCCCAACTTAGGTATTTGTTCAATTGGATGGAAGATAGCGAAGGATAAATTCGCGTATGTAACCACCCTTACAATTAGAACTGGCACGCACTATCTTCATAGTTTTTCCTATGAATCATTACTATGGGGGAGGATTTGTTTGGCAGTGGGCTTTGATGGTCTGTAATGACGATGAAATAAAGCGGCTTAATTGTGTAATTATGAAAAGAATTTGATTAAGTTTGCGTTACTAATAAATATAAGAAATTGTAATACGACCGTCTCCGATTATTGCAAAACAAATATATTGGACATGAATGTCGTGTGAATATTATGACTAACAATAAAGTGACTGGCTATTCATAACACGCTGTGTTTATTTTTAAAGATTTCAATTTCACTATGAGAAACTTTTGTCGACACCGATGTTTTTGAGCCCCTTCAGGGGTGACGAATATTGGCCAGTAATTCGCAACTTTAATGTAATTTAAAGAAATTGGAATCAGAAAAAACTAATTAGTTATCGTAATCATCATCAGCATTACGACCCATCTAAGCTCACTGTTAGACATAGGTCTCCTCACAGATTGTCAGAAACCGCGGTCCAGATTCGCCTGAATACAACGACTATCTGCATGTCTCATCATATAATCTAGTAAAGTGGGCAATAAGTATATTACATGTAATGCATGCATATGCCTGTAATAAATAAAGTAGAAAATTCATAAATTATGGTTTCATAAATGAGTTTATCCGTTATTGTTTACGTATGTTGAGAGCTACAAAATGACAATAGATATTAGGGTAATGTAATATTGTGACTTTGCATTCTTTTAAATTAGTTTTCGGATTCTGTTCTCTTGCTAGGATTATCATTTTGTTCTAACGATCACAGCTTCCTAATTTCTAGAATTTTAAGCCGAATTGGATAAAACCTATTTTTAAAAACATAACTTTATTTTACATTTTTCGACATATTGTTTCCCAGATCTTTACTTTTTAAATTCAGCAAGTAACAATATAGAAAAAAAAAAACTGAAAATAGCATGTAACAACATACACTTTCTTCCTACTTAAATTTTTTCCTTTTTATTAAGTAAGCTGTGTCTCAGGACGAGCTAATAAGCGGTGATTATGCGTAAGTGTCAAATGCTTATGAATAAGTAGCGTCACTTAATGACGGGCACACGATAACGGTAATGTAAACCGTGTACAAAGTCCCTTTACCGTTTAAACCTTGCTGCCTTTTTAAGTATTTTTTTTTTCATCGTAGTCCGTTCCTCATTAAAATATAAAATCAAATTATGTATTTACTTTGATTAAAACATAATATTTTTAACCTGCGTTGGTATTACGAAGTCTGTTAAATTACTGGTATTTGGCAAATGTGATGCACTCATAGATCCTGTATCTCGGTGCCGCGGAGAACCAGTTCGAAGATGATTGCTATCATAAATATAATGGACGTTATTTTTTAATTTGCGGACTCTATTACTTTAATAAATAACGTTAGCTGAATGCTACTCGTAAAGAAAATAGTAATCGTCTACCATTTTATTCAGATTGTGCTTTAAAATTTAAATACAGTTATTGCTCATTTCATATTTTATTTAATAAACTGAGCATTATTCTGTAAATTGTATTTACGACATATAATTTCACTTACATCTTTCTACGTGCATTAGCAACCATTTTGTCTACAATTCGCTTGTTTAAAAAATAAAAAAAACACGTTACTTTGTTCGAAGCAGTCACTTCTAAGTGCAAGTTCAATGCTCCGATCAGCTTCAATGATTTTAAACTTATTACGTATGTTCGTCCACGCCTTTAGACTGTTTGTACAAGCAATTTGACAAGATGTCTCAATTTGGGTAACTGTTACACGCACTGTCCCGTACTGAACAATGAACTGAAAGTGACTCATACATTTTTACGGTAGTACGAGATCACCGGCTAGACGGACTGTTATTTCCCTGTATCTATGGGTTACTTGGTCTGTAGTTTCTAGGTCATTAGATTTCACGGTTGCTAAGAACAATCAGTGATGGTTTGTCTTAATTAGAAACATATAAGCTTTCACTTTAAGCATATGCCAATATTAACGATTTTCATTAAACAAGACTTATGTGTGTCATTTTGTTATATATAAAGGGTGTCAAACGGGCACATAACCAGTGATAATAAGTGCGTGCTGTGGCCAATAGACATGTACATCTATCCTTGATTAAAAATCAAAATACAGATACATTGTCACCCCTGAGGACTAAGATACAATGCTTCGTTCCCAGTAAAATGGGTCTTTCAAATTTATATAATTTTTTTATTACTCCGAGTATATTGTTAATACGTATATATTTAATGTTAACGAAGAACTTACCTATAAGATTATTGGCTGTTACAAGAAGACAGCACAGGAACAATATGGCAGATGTGATTCGGTAGTGCATTCTAAACACCATGTTGTCAATAACCGCCTTGTCGATCAGGTAGCGGACTTTGACGAAGCCCGCCACCGCTGAGGCCATACCGATGAGCGCCATCTTGGATTAGTTCTTCTTTGTCTGTAATAAAAAAGAAACAGTTATTTTAGATACTCAACAAGGCAAGACAATAGTTACTATTAGGGTTATTATAAAAAAATCGACGCCGTCTGCTTTGTGACGGTTGTAGTACGCCACACATACCTACTAAATTCTGACATAAACGGTAAATTTTATTACGTTCAGTTTCGTAATGTCCATGTGCGTTCGTCTCTCCCATGTTTTTACAGTGTCCCGAATTTATATCTATATTTACTTATGTTGTCAGTTGTCACTCAGATAAAGATTCGGTTTAGTTAGGAATCTTCCCAACTTTAACTTACGATTTGTAATAACATCGGACTGTTAAGTATTAAGGGACAAGTACAGGAGACGTGCCTTCTCAATCAATGACCTCATATAATTTAACGATGTGGCTACTACTCGCCCACGCTGTGCATCTGAATCTCGACTTGACTTTAACTTTTTTATAAACTTCATAATATTCCTACTTCGCGGTTCAAGCGCCGCGCCGATCACACGCGTAGTGAGTTATAGAATAATCGTTATGTCTATTTTTATTGGATTCGTTTAAAGGATTTTTCAAATGTCGCCAGTGTCCCATTAAATTATGCACCTAGAATTGAACGACAACGATCCTAGTGGGTAATTCATCACAAATGGATCTAACCTTGGCAACTTCTTGATCCCGTTCCTACGTAGCGTCTATTATTTAGGTCGCCTGCTACTAAGATAAATTAAATACAATTTTTTATTGGTGGTATGCGACACGCCTTCACGGTGTAGCGTTACATAACATAGTCTTTGTTGAAGTTAATTTGTTGACAGATATTCAATTAACTGCAAACATTCAATTCATTATGTGACAAAAATATTTGTATTTTGTTACATTTTAAAGGATAGGCAGTTAGGTAAATATATTTTAAGATTTAGCTATCATAATCTCATAATCGTGGTAAGATCAGGTCGACCGCGACGAAGGCGAATGCTGCGCCGTGCCGGCACAGGGCACGCGGCAGGTCGTCGACCGGCCGATGCTCGTCCGCCTCCTGCGTTTGAAACCTCCCCCTTCGCCTCTTCGCCGTATACCCAAGCCTGTTACTCTTGCACCAAGGCAACGCGAATTTTACGCGGAAACCAGTTTAAAAGTTGGCGTAGCGACAATCTTCAACAATTTCGTGCGCCGACAGTCTACATTTTGCGCCTTTGGTCAAGGAATGTTAAATATTTAAAAGCTATAATCGTTAGTATTTAAGGCTCTGTAGGCTTACAAGAAGAAAATGCTATTTGTAGATTTTGTATTTTGTACCGCATTAATAATTACAAATATATTGGTATTTCGGTTACGTTTCGTCGCATTTCTACTGACGTTAATAATGCATGAGCTTCGTATCGTCGTTTAAGTGTACTTAAACGAGTATTTGACTTACACTGTTTGCTAGCTGATAATAAGGTAGACGCGAGAAAAGGGCACGGAGACATATTTATTTTTATGACGAACGCAAATGGATACGCCACGCGGCTTTCTTTTTTCTATTTAAGTGTAATCTTGTTACAATTTTATTAAAATTCTTATATGGAAATATATAGTCACATAGGCTTTGTCATGATAAATCTGTAACTCATTAAAGTTAGATTTAACTAAACAAAGAATGCAGCAATATTAGCTGCGGTTGTGCGCATCAACAGCTGCCATATTGGAGGCGATCGGCACGCGACGGCTCCCTGAATGAACACTAATTGCGGGAGACGAGAGCGTCTGTACGAGCATTGAGCGTAATGGTAGGCTATACTGCCGGCAACCAATCCGTGGGAAAGGAATCTCGATCGAATGCAAGCTAGTTTGAACAATAGGAAGTTCTTGAGCGCACATTTTCACGAAGACACGACAAAAGAAAAATGCAATTGCTCTCTCTGGCCGTTCATGTTGCAGATTAAGATTAGGTTGTGAGAATTTAGAGCTTAGTGCATTGATATAGTATGGTTTATGTAACATGACAAACTGTTATTTAAATGTATCGTCTCTTTTATGAAAGTCCGAAAACTATAGTGTATGCTCTGTAAATACGGGTAAAAACTATGTCTGAACTAAGGAATACGATTTTTTTTTTTATTTTGCAAATGTTTCTGTATCGCGGATGTATTTTTAACCTAGAACAGTAAATCGTATTTGTATACAAAACTTGTTCTGTGCGGGATCCGAACCAGCGGTGTCGCAAACAATCGCTTAGCTACAGTGTCGCCGATGCGCCATTGAGTTTCCTGTTTTTAAGTAATAAATCTCACGAAAGCCGAATTTTATCTTAACGACTTTAGTGTGTAAGAGCGTATCTAATGACGCGACATCGATCGGCGCGGCAGTTATTAGGTAATCTGTGGTAGGATACAAGTGAACGGTAAACTTGCTGTCGTAATTTTACGGTAAGCAGCATGCGACGAGCCAACGCTAGAAGCTATAAGAAAACGTGGCAACTTTTTCTACAAATGCTGTTATCCTGTCACACGAGTCTTTGGCGACTAACTGATGGTGAAATACCCATCCGAAAATTCTGATTCTTAATTTAACAGATTGGGTAACAAGGGACGGCATTACTGTGCGATGGTATCGGATGTGCAGATCCGACAAACCAGCGTAGTGGGCAATTCTACTGTGTTATAAACTTATATTTACACAACAGCAAGCAAATTATACGCATATACTAGCAAATAGTTATACTATTTTTAATCGACGTCAAAAAGGAGAGGGTTCTCAAATCTACTGTATGTTCTTTTGTATGTATGATACACGATATCGTCGTCAATTGTGAACCGATTTCAATGATTCTTCTTTAATCAAAAAGATTATACTTCAGGTTGGTCCCATTATAATTTAGTGTAAAAAATCCACCAAGGAATAGAGGATAAAGTTTTTAGTGGAATATACTAAGGAATCTTAGTAAAATGAATAGGGTCAAAAAATTTGATCGTAATATGTAGTTGGGCGGAACGGTGGAATACTTTCCTGCTCCAAATCTCTTAGATGTAGATATCGATGCTAAAATATAGTTTTTTTTTTAACTTGTAGTAACGAACGTACATTGTAATTATTTGCAGGGTATGTTAAAACATCACTGGACTCTGTGTCATCGGGACAGTATCAAATATTACGGAAATATGGCTCGTATCTATGTTGCGGTTACCATTGCGATGTACTCACGTTATTAACATCCCTAAGTTACATGTATAACTTTATCCCTGTAATCCGTTATCGAGCTAGTATTTTAAACGTGGTACATCCACGCTGCAGCTATATAATGGTTTGTCGGAATGGGTCGGCTCGACCGGGGAACCACCACGCTCTCACATAATACCAGCGTAAAATAGCAGTTTAATGTTGCCGTGGTGAGTGTAGAGAACTTTATACGGGAAAGGAGACATTCCATCTTAGTCCTCAGCATTTTTATTCTTAATCTAGGAATAATGTGGATGTCTATGGGCACTTACCGTCAGGTGGACTGTATGCTCGTTTGTTACCTTTATACCATGAAAAAATAGTACCGTAAATAAAATTGACCGACGAAATAATGAAAATTGTAATAAAAGTAACGTTTTTAGGAGCAATCTCTTAAAACATAATTTATTAACGAGACGTGGCAGTAGATAAACATTCATGAGTATTAGATATAAATATTAATGTGATAATATTATTAATTACCACCACATATGTTGTGGATTCTGGTTTGATTTCCGGCTCGAACCAATAATTGTGCAAAAACATAAATTTTTAGCTGTTAATTTTCCCGTGTATTCTTTTTTATATTGATGTGATAAACGAACCTACAGTCCCCCTGATAGGCTACTGCAGTACGTAGACACCTACAACCAACTTCAAACAAAGAAGAAATGTATTATAAGCAATATACGTCACAGTCAGTACTGCAAGGAATATTTCACAGCAGTGCAGGCACTGCGATTTGGCGGCAGAAATAGGTAAGAAGGTGGTTCCTACCCAGGGGAGCTTTCTAGGCAGAAAAGGAGTCGTACCATCTGAGTGTTTGTATTGGGATCACTACCAACGAACATCTCAAGGTCATGCCTTCTTGAGCCACTTACATCCATCACCATCCTGCAAGTTTTACGAGGTTGTAAGACATGCAGGACCACATCATTAATTAAGAGTAGTATTTTCAAATATTAGTATAGAAGTAACAATTAAAGTATGTAATTACAATTAAGCATCTGATAGCATTTATCACGATAGGGGTTAAGGTCAAAGTTACAGATGTGTTCGCGAAGATTTGTACACGAGACGCGTATTGTGAAACTTGTACGGTCTAATTGATGTGACGTGCGCTGCATAGCAATTAGCAATAGATGAAGTTTTTGTTAGATTTCGAGCTTGACTGTCTTTCTTTATTAGCCTTTGATAGAACAGACATGAAATATTTTTAAACATTGCGTCGTGCTAGCTTAACTATGAAATGCATTTTCCAGTTAGGTACAATAATGACCTTTTTTACATATAATGTTTATAAAAAATGCTATTTTATAAATAGAACAGGACTTAAATGTTTCTAAAAATATCGGCAATCACCCAGGATCAACTATGCAGGTGGTGGTGTCCATACTGCGTGACTGGAATTCAACAAGTGTGACCTGTTAAAGATGCCTCCGTCGTCCAATCGAACGAGGAATTCCCGCACAATACTGTGGGAACCTCGTGATTTTCTTGTTTGCTCACATGTTTCAATTGTGACGTACGGTGTGATATAAGTAGAAACTAATATGTAATAAGTTTAGTTTAGTTTTCATTCATGATTATCCTTATTACGTTACGAAATCTGTTTCATTGATTTGCAATATAGATTTTCATGCTTTTATTAGTTATAAAAATAGCAGTATTACTGATAACACTAATAATATTGCTTCCAAACAAAGAGTTTACGAATGGTTTAGTATTTCTGTGTGTAACAGGTAAATATTCATTATTCGCTTAATTGAAAAAGGAAATAATTACGTAT